ATTAGTGGATCATTTTCAGGAGGAAACTATTACCTGATCGTTGCTACGTACTTTGATAAGCAAGGTAACCATTGTAATAAAGTAGCTACTGAATAAATCAGTAGATTAAATGGAATTAGGAACTTAACACGTGTTTTGTTTCTAGATGCGTTTTTATAAGACGAATCACCTGATGGTAAGCAATTGGCGTCGCCCATGGACACCAGAGGCGTTACAAGTGCGTTACCAGCCTTTTGAGTTTCAGGAATTTGTTTATTGTTAGGGATTCAGGGACTGGGGAGATTGGAGGAGAGAGGGGAGGTAATTGGGCCTCCAGTAAAATAGAAATGCAGTTGTTCGAAAACAAAGCTACTTTTACAACCTGTCTCACAATGTCTCTGTTTTAGTTTAGTCTTACTGACGAATCAACGGCATCAGCCATTTCAGTCCATTGCTGGACTGTCGGACTAACTAACGAATATTTTAACTCATTTTACAAAATGTGTCAAATGAGGCTTGGTAAATATCAGCTACATTCCTAGACTCCTATCTGACTGGGAATACCTATAAACTTAGGCCTCCAGAACCACTAGCTTTGTAGTCGGACTTGCAAGCACTTGGCAATGCATCAACCACCTGTCACTAATTATGTTATGAATCCCATGTAATAGGGGGTGAGCCTAGTCATATACCGGTAACAATTCCAGACTCAGTAATATTACTAGGATTTTTTTCAAAAAATGCTTTGCCCGACCCTAGACAACTTCCCCGGCAGCCACTCTTGCGACCACTCAGCCAACGAGGCAGTCCAAAACGCTATCATTCCATGTAATTAGGCTAGACAAAATTAGGTTGTGTTGTCCATGCTAATCTTTGAATAAATCTAGCTTTAAATTGAGGCTGAATTAATTTAAATGGGTTCGCGATAAGGATCCAAATGTAAAGCAGAAACATTAATGTTTTATGGTTCATTTTATTATTGTTTGCCTCATTAGTCCGCGCGTTGTAACCGTGGTCGCTGAACACGAGGTTCAGGATTTGGTAGAGTAATGTTGGGTTTCTGATGTAGACTGCCAAATTTTTGATTTTCAAGTGACACTTTTGAAACTTGTGTCTAGTTTAAACACTATAAATGAAGTCCATCTAAATGTAACAGAATAAATGATACTTTTGTAATGTAATATCTATAAATAAAATAAGAAATGATACACAATAACTATAAGAATAAATAATAACTTCGAAATCGTCTTTAATCAGTCCTAAAACATAATAAGTGTAAGTGCTACACCATTTTTTTGAACTAAATTTCTTTACGCCAATTTGATCCGAAAATGTTGATTGATAACATTTGATTCAAGAGTCACTTCACCCTATACCGATACAGATGTACACACGTCCACACATCAATGTACAAAACCAGTTTATCGTGGTGTCGCGTCGCATCATTCTTCCGCACATTTAACGTTCAGTTTATACTGGTTATGTAAAGCTCGATGTGTAGCCGTGTCTACCATATAAGCCTTAACGTATTGGTGTAGATGCCAATCTCAGTTAGTCAGCTTCTGGTTACCGGCTAACTAAGGACTGTCAATGTCAATCGGGAACCAGACAAAACATAACACAGATTCATTAGGGCTATCTTAGAACCCCAAATACCCCAATTGTAGACTTGTGATAGTGTACGACAAATGAATTCAGTACCTGATTTTGTAACTAGACTTTTTATTAAACTGTCTTAGAAGTAAGTAAAACTTTAAGCCACAGTATATAGAAATGATACAGTGCATTCTGCCTCGTTGCCCGATTGGTCGAAAGTGCGACTGCCGGGCAAGGGGTCCCGGGTTCGATTTCCGGGTCGGGCAAAGGTAAAACTGGGTTTTAAACAAAATCTCAGTAGAAGCACGGAATCTGGAAATGTGCCCGGTATATGGCAATAGGCTCACCTCCTATTACATGGGACTCATAACATAAATAGTGAAAAATGCGTATTACATTGTATAGTGGCAATAAGTGCCGTAACGTACACCTCTAGCTAAATCTTCCGGGATAAAACGCGTGATGTTATGATGATGATGACAATACTTTCATACCATTCGCTAGTTATTGTTCATGCGTATTAACTTAACTAACGGTTTCTGATAATCTGAAACTTTGAAAACTGCGCGACCACAAGCTGTCTTTTCTAAACGCTTTTTATGGCAAATCCTCTTGTGTAGATGAGGCTTATAGTCCATCAGTGGACTAGCATGGGCCGTTGATAATAATTGATGAGTTATATCATCAAACACTAGAAGTTGTTGTTGACCCTTCAATAGTCTATAGCAGGGGTGGCCAACCGGTCGATCACGATCGATCAGTCGATCGCGACTGTTAGTAGACTAGTAGTCGATCGTGGCCAGACAAAATATATAAATAAATAGACCAGACTGCGCAACGTTTTAACAATTATCAACTACTATCTACAAACTAGATTATGCTAAACTAGTGGAAAATGCTCAGGCGCAATGCTCACACTAATATATAGGACCCATATAATGTTTAGTAAATTTAAGGAAACGATCTCACATGTGATATGAAAAGAAACCATTAAAACTGGTCAATAAAAAATACATGATTGTGTACTAAACTATGCAGTTTAATTTCAAGAAGTATGTACTTGGTAGATCGCACAGGATTTCGTTAGTAAACAGTCGATCTTAGGTCTAATCAAGTTGGCCACCCCTGGTCTATAGAGTACGCAAGCTAGTAGTAGTAGGTCACTAGATAATAACACAAAATTACCGTATCGTGTGACGAACGAAAAAACGTATTACATTTTAGGTAAAAGCCACTGTTGCTCGTAAAACTAACAGTGATAAAGACCCTAAATAAAAGCCTATTACTTTGTAGAAAGTAGCAAGTAAAACATTTAATCGCCATAGCAAATTTGTTAAAAGAAAAAGTAGAAAAACATAACACTTAACTAAAGTCATACAGACATACACAGAGACACGCAAACTTTAATTGCTTCTAATTAATTTATTACATGTATTAAACAATTAAGCGTGCGGTATCTTGATGTATTGTTATCGAATTTAGGACGCCATAGCTACGGACGACTCTGACCAATTGACTTATCTTTGAAAGCTAATTAATGGGTGCACTCATCACGCGATGTGCTCTAATTGGACGTCGAAAACTGACCAGACGTCATTTCGTTATTACTTTTCCATTTTATAAAAAGGATACGTTTGATAGCTGATACGGCATCAATTGGCGAGATCATTGCGGTAATTTGATGTAACTTCTAATTTACATTGCCTCGTTGGCCTAGTAGTCGCAAGCGCGACTGGCCCGTCTCGGGTTCCCGGGTCGGGAAAAGTATTACTAAGTTTTAAAAAAATCTCAGTAGTAGCATGGAGTCTGGAATTGTGTCCGATATGTGGCAATAGGTTCACACCCTACATGGGACTCATAACATAAATAGTGACAAACTTGTGTTATGTTATACAGTGTCATTAAGTGCCGTAATGTGCCGCTCTGCCTAATGCTACGGGGATAAAAAGGCGTGATGTTATATTATGTTATGTTCCAACAATTCAAGGTGAGAAGTAAGTCATCTATATGACAGCGACTTATCTTTAGGTGATTGTTCTTACTTGGGATTGATTGTTTTCTTGTATACAGTCAATAATGTATCACATACATTCAACAAATTAATCATGCTGTCCTCCAAACCTCCATTGCAGTACTTCCATAATTTACTATAAGTAAAAGAAAATACGACAACATTGAATCACCAATAACCGCTGACGACTGCACTGATGAGCTATTTCCTTAACAAATCAACTTACTTAGATCTAAAGAGGTAGGTACACAAAGGAAAACAATCAGAACATCGGATATGATTTATATTACATTAACTAGCTCCCCTAAAAATCCCCCATAAACTTATTTCGTGCGGTAATAAGATTGCCGGAACAACACTATGTTCACGTACATAACAAAACGAAATTAGAAATCGTCTGAGTTACGAACACCGGTAAATGGTGAAACCAACCCTACCCTGTCTTAATTGACGCAGACTACTCCTTAAACTAACGGGGGTAGATAGCGAAAGTAATTTGTCATCGGTTAGCTAAGCATGGTGGGGGGGAGGGCGCACTCGCGGGCCAACCTCCGCGAAGGTAGCACGTCTCCACACTAATGACATCCCGCATAATTAGGAACCGCCACCATCTACTAATTACATAAATTGCCCACTAAACTTGGCTATAATTTTGCTTCGCGTTTAAACGGGGTAACTGCTTGAGAGTTGGTACGGACTGGTTTAAATTATTACAATGTGATATATACAGATTTACAAACATATGTATGTGTAATCCAGTTTTGTTCGATATTGAACTGGTTACACGCAAGTAGGATCTAGTGTTGCAGGCATTAAATTGTAGAATGTATTATGTGGCAGCGACAATAGATAACGCTACCTGTAACGTTGGAAGTACACTGCGGGCGCAACTTAGGTACGCACCCGGATCCGACTGGCGGGAATTCGCCACAATGATTACACTCGATTGACTCCAATTCCCTTGCGGGTCTGTGGGATAGACACTTATAAAGTAGGTCTCGGCTTTTCCCTACAAAAGGAACTCAAATATCATTACCTACACTTTTAGCGCAAGCAGTCTTTCCACCATGCCAAATGAAATACATAATGATCTTGTTGTAAGATGTTATTGAACGTTGTGTTTAAGACCAACTTTTAGTTAACTTATTCTTCAGAACTTAAAACCGTTGGTCCTCTCAAACAAAACATGATCATGTTTCAAGGTTTAAACCTTTGGCTTAAACCTTTCATGTGTCTATAACGCGGATCCACGCGAGACACAATATATTTTGTGTTTTGTCTCATATCAGTGCATTCTACTGATTCAATATCAAAATGGAATACACAGGAGGCATATCACACATATCCCAAACAACGATTTACATTAAGCACAATATTTTTTCTTCAATCACTAAATAACATTCTCTAACCACAGATCAACCAACAATCAGCCAGTCATCGAGCAACGTAGTGGACGGTATCAACTTGGAAGACATCAAGGAATTCGCTAAGGCCTTCAAACTTCGACGGCTTGGGCTAGGCCTCACTCAGACCCAAGTCGGACAGGCCTTGTCCGTCACCGAAGGGCCTGCCTACAGTCAAAGCGCGATTTGCAGGTACAGTCTAGTTTAACAACTTTATTAAGTGTTGCCTTTAGTGAAAATAGATCTTTATAGGTTGCCTTGTAATACTATTTTTGTTGCTGGACACGAAGTGGTGCACCCAAGAGACCATAAACAGTTTGTCACTACAAGCAGCAATTAAAAGTCCCGTAACATTTCCAACGCGTAATTAATATACTGTAACGGTATCTTGCAATATGTAATATGTATACGTGTTCCATTTTACAATCTTCCTTTTATTCCGTACACACATTAAAATCACCTTTATGTATGTATAAAGTCCAGCAACTTACATACAGATAGACTGTACCTATTGTTCTCTCTACAATCAAATTCGAATACATATTTGAATAAATTCAAACTTCAAGGAAACCGTTACGTCTACTTCAAAGATATAGAACACACGACCACAGCTTAAAAATTAATGTTGCCACTTAATTGTTGTTGTTAATACAGTATCTAATTAATCAAAGAAGAAGAAAAGAACATATAAAAAACGATCTGATGATATCTTACTTGTAACCGAAGGAGATAAAGTCGCACGCTTGTCAAAATAATGTGACCGTTTGCTGGCAACATCGTGGGGCTGACAAAAAAAGGTTCAAGAATCGTTTTTATAAATGTCGTCACGCAGGCCGGCGCTCGGTTATCATTCCAACTTTTTAATATCGTTAATTGAAGTGATTTGTAAAACAGCATGACTCCTTTCATTGCTTACAATTCGTTTAATTAATTACCATTCGGGTGGCTTCCGTTCCGCTCACTGTGTCGTGGCTTACACCATTTTTTACTCGCCTAGGCGCGGACGCGTGCTTCCTAATTATTTTTTTCTATTATTACGAATTGATTCGTGTTCTTTCTAGGTAGATATCTACTATATCTTTTCACATTTAGGTAGTAAAGCGTTCATGTTTAATGGAATTGACAAAGATGTCTAACATTACTCTAATGAAGTTTCGATTCTTTTATGAAAAATGTAAGAATCACGATTGAATTCAGGAACCGACACCAATTTTCAAACCTAGATAATAAAGTTATGTACAAAAAGGGTAAGCTCCTGATAGCTCTTAACTCTTATCTATCGATGCTTTTTATAAAGTCATTCGATACGAACACGACCACCTGAGAAACTAAACCTGAAATACAGAAACACGAACTTTCTTAATTGTTGATCTTGTATGTTGCAATTACATCATATTAAATTAATTCTTTTATTTCAAAATTGCTACAACTTACAAACAATTATACTGGTTTGACGGCCGATCGAAGTTGGATATAATATTTTTCTCGACTTACCTTATACTACGTAAATCGACAAATTAATCACGCTTCAGCACAGCTTTACGCTCATAATGTTTAATTGAATCAAATCACTCGAAACAACGTTGCCCGTGAACAAATCGAATTTCGATGCAAAACGGAATGCGACCGGCACAAGCCGAAGGAAATTTCAATTCCGAGCCACCCCCGACGACCTCCTTCGTATAATAAAATCATTAATCGTTACTTCTGTTCCAGTTAATTAATTATCTTGCCGTAATTACTTTTTTCGTGTAATTAAAAAGAGTAGAATTCCCCTGTCTTTGTTCTGTCGTGATTTCATTTCCCATTAATTTTTCTTTCGTCTCCCTCCAATTTGGTGTCGTGACGTCGCTACATGGTAGTTACCCCTTTCATTATACTGGACTTAATTAATTTGCATTTTAATTAAAACATATTATTGTTTTTGAGAAAAGAATTCCATTTAGTGGTACTCGTTCCATCTCACTGGAGCTTTTTGTTACCGAGTTCACAATGGGCTAAAGTCAACAAAACTCTTTTTAATCATTTTCACAAACTCAAGGCGTTTAGCTACCCAAATCTAATTTAACCAAAGAATCCTATAAAAACATTTTGAAATTGTTAAAGCAATAAAACTTTTTAGCGTCGACCAAAAGTGTCAACATCGTGAATCACGTTGATGAACTGTTTATTAAAGCGATATTATTTAAAAACCGTTTGAAATATACCATATTGATTTGTTTTGAACACAATCAGGCGCATGGTCATTGCCACTTGGAACGATGTCAATAACAAAATATTGAATTAACCATTAACCCTGGTGCGAGTGCATTACAATTTCATATGAAGTACAATGCGTCAGGGCATCTCGTAGCAGCATAATATAAAAGTTAAATAACCAATAAATAACACATCCACGTCCTAAACTGGATAAATCCCGAATAATATCGTTATGAATATTTTATTTCCTTTCCAAATGATATTGATCAACAGAGCGTGGCCGTATGTTTGCCCCATGCATTGTCTAGAATATATCGTAAAATCTAACACTTTTGTAGCGACATGATAGCGTGCGACTTTGTTCTTAATCTTTCTAGATTTGTGAGATGTAGTGATGTTGCTCCCAGTCACTCCGGCGGAGCACCGTCACCGTCACTGGATACGACATAATCTAACATAATATTTGTTACCGTCCCCAGTGCCCTGGCTTCGCAGATGCTAGCAGCTCAGCTGTCTTCACAACAACAAAACATGTATGTGTTTTGTTTTTTATCCCTACACACAATATCTCCAAATTTATCTTCATCAATCCTGCATCCACTTGCATGCAAATAGAATTTACTCAGTAGAAACATTTTCATAATGGTGCTAAGATAATGGAGATAAATTCGTAGATACTTAACATACATTAAGTACACGCTTTGGCTCACTTATATCGGCCGAGTCCACACGCAGAATGTCTTTAAATCAAAATGTTTCAACGCTGTTTAATGTAATCTTATCTCAATCGGCGATCCGTGCATACCTTTTGAATGTATGCCGTATATAATTATTTGTAATTACCGGTTTTGACGTTCTTTCTTTTCCTTTTCACACGTGTACGGTATTTGCATTCGGGTAATTACAGCGAAGGCGCCATACATCATACGGCCGAGTTACATTTTGATGTTAAGACAAACGCGCTACACTAATGCGCCGGCTACCAAACCATGTCGATTCGACACTATGAGTAATCGCTGTGAGAACTTTATCACTTTTATTATTTGTAACATCTCGATGAGTAATATCTAACTTTCCATCTAATATAGCATGATGTATTATTTTCATTACTCTTATTTTTATTAATATTCATTTTGCGCAATTCAAAGCCAGGGCATTGGCATACGTTACGAGTACCTTTCGTTTCCAACTGAATTCGTTGTTTTATTGTTACCTTGTTCGGTATTAATCAAACTGATTACCTCGGCAGACTAAATTGCCTATTGTTTTTTTTTTCTCTCTAAAATCGTTAACGCAATGTCAATGTCCTGTGTTTATGCCTCTGTTAATTTGGATCGGGTAAAGAGTAACATCGCGTTCTGTAAAGGTGCTTCGCGGTAGATTTTCATTTGACCGGTGCTCGCATAGCAAAGTCTAACATTACATTTATGTTCGATACAGATTTGAGAAATTGGATATAACACCAAAAAGTGCGCAGAAAATCAAACCGGTGCTCGAACGTTGGATGAAGGAAGCCGAAGAGAGGTAAATATTTGTTTGAGTGAGTTATGTTCGTGGTAATGTGCTACACCGTGTTCGTGAAACATTTGGCCTATAATGCTTAGCAACGTTGTGAAAGACATTTCTCAAATCTGGACTAACTAATGCTTTACGGGCTAGGCTTTATGTTTATTTGGATCCGCTGTACGACTAACATCTAACACTTACCGTTACCCAAAGTTAGGAATAACTAATTTCTTCTCGTCTATTCCTGAAATTAGTTGTTTCTAATTTAGGTGTTCATCTCCGTCGGGTTTAACACTGGCTTTATCATGCATGTTTAGTTCTTATGGTGCGGTTGTTTAGCTTGGGCGTATTATTATCGTATTCGTTTAGATTTAAACGTTTGTCATCGATTTAGAATCACTATAGTTTTAATGGTTTTCGTTTTAGGTGTATTGTAAGTGTCTTCTGTCCAAAACTATTGTTCTTAATTTGGTTTCAACTTTCTAAAGCAATATGTATGTCCTAAATTAACAAAATTAGTGTAACACACCTAGATTACACCAAAATTGTTAATGTCAATTAAGTTAACGGCCCTAGAAACCCATGAATCACTTCTCGGAAAGTCTTAGAAAGATGAAAATGTTTTGTACTATCATAAGATTGTTCTATTATCATGAATGGGAAATCGAAATTTTCGATTCCGCGAACTAATAATCTCGGTTATATTGTAACAAAATATGGGTTTGGTTTGAGCCAGCCCAAATTTTGATAGGGTTATCCAAACCAATTTGATGTCAAAAACAATTTTAAATTCATGCTTCCGATGAAATTACGCATCAGGGCCTGGATAAAACAATAACATCCACGTAAGAGCATACAATGAATAAGAACTAGAAATATTTGAATAAACTGCAAGCTTATATAACAAAGAACATCAGGATCGAAATGAAGACAACACTTAACCAATCAACGAACCCCTTTTTTCCATAACATTTCAAACTAAACCAGGTGTCACTTAAGTCTTCAACCACGACGTAATGACGCCATAAGATGTCCCAACAGGATCTATCGATCGACATTTTGCATCATTAAAATGCATTATCTGGATGCAACGCTTCGGTTTAACATTGCAAATGGGTGCATTGAATTTGCAATCGGTCTCTCTTGGTGGTAATTTTTAACGACCGCCTCTGTTGGCGATAGTCCTTGAATTAATTCCGTTGTAACTTGGGGATCTCGTTAATTTATTATTAAGAACTAGGTACATCTATTATAGTGTGCTCAGTTGTTATAAATGGAGCCGGAGCTAACAATTAATGTCGGAAGCAAAGTACTGCTGTCGAATGAACTAGATTGGCAGCCTTCGTCTATTTCTGTAAAGAGGCCAAAAGTTAAAAAGGAACGATACGGCTCAAGGAGGCTAATTGAAAGTTTTCTTGATATTTTTAAAAGATAGATAAAAACACATACTCTTACGGCCATTTTCTATAACTTATCTATCTAGATTTCATCATCGTAGATTTGCTTACTGAGGTAGAATTTTGACACATTTTGTATTGGAAGCTTATGTCATAGATAGATAGAGCCATCGGACCACCACGGGTGGAGCCCAATAGGGCTGTTGCCGGATACGGAGCCGCGGAGAACCTTAGGATTACCGGGGCTCCGGCTCGAAGTGCAGGAGTAGGAACGGGGTGGTTTTTAGTCAGTAAGAGTCCCTCCCGCCTAATCCAGGCGGGAGAAGTAATTCGGTGATTTACCCCACTTAAAAAAAATACAGATAGATAGGTTATAGAAAATCGCTGTTAATCGTTGAATAAATATGCCAACCCAGCTAATCGGTGACATAGATTCTAATAAATACATAAGTCATGGAAAATATATAAGAGAATGCATGTATGTAAGATAATTCAAATGACATTGGCATTATGAAACCAGAGCAAGGCTTATTATTACCATCAGCCGTTCGATATTAAGTTTATTATGATTGTTGATACATAAGTTTACATAATCGTTGTTGACACGTATTAGGGTTCAGTAATTTTTGTACTAAAGGAGTGCTGTACAATTACGAAGCTAATGATCTACTTCATAAGACTTACTTTCGTGATTGTATACAGTCCTTCAGAGCATGCTATATCAAACTGTTTAGACTCATCAACAAGTCGATTAGGTACCAATAATGCTTGTGCTTCTGCTTCTACGACGAAAAAAACGTTCATCGAAATCATTAGAGGTTCGATTAGCGTTGTTTTCGCAAGCCTATGCAATGTACCGACAACTTCATTCTAGAACTTTTGTATTCTATTACAGAATGTGTAAAATATACTTCTCATTATTTTTTACCCAAACTTCGGCCTTACCACAGAAGCTATAAGGATCACAATAAATAACTACCACTAACGCCTGCTTTATCACCTTTCCTAAGCACTTAGTACAAAACAGGGACAATTTACACAAGGACCGGTCGAATTATAAGTTCTTGCAGCAGCTCATTGAAAACTCTGTTCTAATATGATGTACTAAAGTTTATTATTCCGATCATTACAGGTATGCTTCTGGACAGAATCATCTGACGGACTTTATAGGCATGGAGCCAAGCAAGAAAAGAAAACGACGAACCTCATTCACTCCTCAGGCTTTGGAACTACTTAACGCGCATTTCGAAAGGAACACACATCCTTCTGGTGAGTTAAACAATACCTTTTAAAACTGCCTGTGATACCTGAAGATTATCTTTTAACTCGTCGAGTACCGGTTTTGTAGACACAATTATAGAACAATAGGTTGCGGTCACCGGTGACCGCTTGGTGTTTGACAGTTTAATCTGTTTGGAGAACACGTTATAAGACTTCTGAAATGTCATCAAACTGAGATTAGTTCAGAGGGGGTTCCGACTGCAGAAGATTTACTTATTAACTTCAACCTACTTTTTTTTTAAGTCGTTTAATTAATATACTAACCTAAATGTAGCAAACACTTTTCTGAATACCGCATCAACATCGGTTCAGCCAATCGTTAGATAATCGCGCACAGACATATCATACATACATAATATAGAGGTATAGACCAAATTAAGAATCTACTTTTTTGAAGTCGGTTAAAAATAATTCATATTACGCTAATTGCATAGTGATCTAATTTATCACCTTGTAACAAAGGAAAACGACATTATTAGATCTAATGTGCCTACCTTACCTTGGGCTACAAAAACTGATGCTATTGTTATATTTTTTCAGGCACTGAAATCACTGGACTGGCACATCAGCTCGGCTACGAACGCGAGGTCATCAGAATATGGTTCTGCAACAAACGACAGGCTCTCAAGAACACCGTCAGAATGATGTCCAAAGGCATGGTGTAAACACCAGCGTAAACCCCTGTACACAACTGCGAATTTTGGACATAGTCCACAAGTCCATTAAAAAAGGTCCATCGTATTAGTTTGTAATCCAGCAATGGACACTGAATTCTATCCAATCTTTTCCATTTGTGTACAGGCACACAAAACGACGACAGTTACTTTAGTGATGGGGTGCGACAATGTTATCGATATCGATGGTTTCGCTTTAACATCTGCACGTAGATTCGTGATCTCGTCTCGATATTCAAATTAATTTATAATTTGCATCGATAGTGTCTTATTTATGAAGGCGAATGTTTCTTTTTGGTTTGTATTGATGAAAAGTCTGGCCTTACCGCAATCTTTATGCGATTCCAGCCAATATGAAACATGGAAAGTAGATAATAGTATTAAGTGTAACGTAAATGTATTATAAAACAAATTTCGACTGAAATATTCGTCTCGATGTAGTTTACAATGATATGAATGGAATGTCGTAGCGATTAATGTAGGTGTTTACTAGTACAAAGTAATGAAATTGAATTGTCGAAATCACTTTACCATTTCCAATGTTTCCCATTGTCATTATTTGTATTTTAAAACTAAACGGATTATTCAAGAAGGATAAACAAACAATGTTAACGAAATAGTAACTTTTACTCTTTTCTTAAGCATCAGTGTAGCGAAACTCACGAAGATGGCAACTTATGTTTCATACATGAAGAAATAGTGTAGCTTCCAGGTTTTCTTTTGTAAAAAGATTGCATTTTGTAAATAAGTACAATATGTTTAATTTTCGTCATTGACAATGTAATGTAGCTGATACATTAATTTATTAAAAATACTCTGAGTTGTTTCGTTCTATTAGCGAATGTTGCACTTTAGATTTAAGACTAATATCGATATTATGACAGTAGTTAAAATGTGTCGTCAATCTTAGTACAGCCTACTAAGATTTTTTTATTAATCTGTAGTAGGTTTTTGTTGATAGATAGGTATAAAACGATATGTATAGATTAATTAAATATAATTATTATCTAATATTGCCGTAAATTGTAAATATTGTTTTCGTAATATGATTTTAATGAAATGTATTATTAGTTTTATGTATTAAGTATAATTTCATAGCTTTTTAAAAAAGTTTTATTGTAATTAGGCAGTATTCAAGTTGGATTTTGTGGCGATATTAACGTTATTACTTTGATTTTTTCATTCAGCAGTTTGTTTACAATTGGAATAGTTAATATTCACATTTTCATAGAAATACAAGTAACAGGGGGTCTTGAATTTAAATGTTAGATGATTTTAAAGTGCATATTTCTCGGACGTTGACTGTTAAACTAATAAAATTGCCTCGCATTTGGAAATGTAGATTTTGAAGAGTATACTTATGATATGTAGATTTTCCAAAAATACTAAAATTTGACGTTATATATAATTATGTTTTAAGAAATAAATGCGTGCGAGAAATATGCTGAAATAAAATTTTATAAGTAAATAAAGTATCGTCGAAGAAACACAACATTTTAGATATTGTTAAAATAGAATACTTACTCGGTGTTTCTATTTGGTGTGCGCACGTAATATTTAAAGTAATGTTGTCATAAACAAAAACAAAATTCGATTGTTTTGCAATTGTGTCGTTGCATTATATCACCACGTCTCCGGAGACAGGTGCCTTATCGATATTTCGGAAAATACAAATTGAAAAACCGTGATATTTGCTGATTTATTTCAAGTTTGGTGGTTGACTAGGTATAAAAAAATCCTTTTGAAAAGTATACTTTGTATAACATTAATATACTTCCAAAAATCGTACCTCTCGCAAAATATCACATACCTATGTAAATAATTTAGTTAGATAGTTTTCAAATAAAGACCTGCTGTTAACTGTATTACCAATAGTAATAAGGCTGTAATTGTAATATTGTATGTTAATGACCAATGAAAACCAACTTGTGATCATTAATATTTGTACTGTTACCTACTACTTAACAAGAGTCGTTAAAAAAATAATATTATAAAAATTGAACATATTTTTCGGCTGTTGAAAAATTGTAAATACAATATTAAGGATAATAAAACTATTTGGATTAATATTTAGGAACAAAGGGAAAAAATATTATCAAAATTTATATTTTCAAAAATATTACAAATGCAAAAAAGCGTATTTAAAAAAAGGAATGTTTGGCCATAAACTAAAAAATCATATTCACGGAAAGGGTTTTTTATCGACTTAAGCACACCACAACACTACACAAGCCACGATCAGTAAGGTAAACAGTGACTAAAAATTGTGCGATGCGATGTTGCACGTAATCAGTACATATAATAAGGAGTCAGGTTTCTCATTATAAATCAAATAGTGCCCTTGTTATTGCAAGTCATTTCTTTAGGAAAATAATTCTTTACACTTTTCTAGAAGACAAACGCCATTAAAGTCTTTTCACGTTTTTAAATGTAATAAGATTAATATTGCAACTGATACTCATGAAAAACCTGATTCCCATCAAACATTAGCGTAATAGAATGAGCATAGAATGCTAAGTACAAATGACATAATTTAACGATAAACTGCTAGTCCCGTTAAACGTAAATAATAATTAAAATTATAATAATAATTACTATGCAAAATCGCGTTGCACCCTGGTTTTCATGATCCACATGTATCTATAATAATAATAGTAATACAATTATAAAAATCTACACATAATTTCAGCTGTAACACATATTCAAACCAAACTATAACAGTATGTAATAGTGTATTAATTTTTTCTTCCTATAATGGTACCGAACGAATGATTATGGCTGCTGGTTTATGAAGAGAAGCAGAATAAAGGCAGATAACTGTTTGATTGCTTGTTTTATTCATATTGCACATCCTTGCACCCTTTTACAGAGAAATGGGTACCTTAACCCAGTACAACTATAAGTAACAATTTATTAGAAACTGGTTAAAATAAAAGAGCCTTTGTTGCGTTTGTTGGAGGGCACTCGCCGTGCAATCACGAGTGCGACTGCCAGCAAGGGGTCTCGGGTTCAATTCCCAGGTCGGGCGAAACATTACTAGTAATAAAAATATCCAAGTAGTAGCACGGAGTCTGGAATTGTACCCGGTATATGGGAATAGAATGGTGCTCCCCATTCCTCGGTGTCTGGTTGCAGTTTTAGGACGTCCCCGGGTCCAATAGGCTCTCACCCCTATTACATGGGACTCATAGCAGAAATAGTGAAAAGTGGATACATTGTACAGTGGCATAACCTTCGGATATGAAAGGCGTGATGTTATGTATGCATTTGTAGCGTGATAAGAAGATAGGTATTAGATACCGTATTTGACGCTGACGCTCACTTGTGATTATATTTTTTAAATAATATAAAACGGTAATATTTTATAGTACCGTACTGTAAAGTACTTCCTTAAAGTTTTTCACAAAGCTTTCAACTTAACACAGTAAAAACTATCGAATGAACTGTCGCCGACTCACCGATAGTATTTCCGAACCGATACGACCTTCAAAACTTCAAAAAAAGAGCTTAAGGTATCTACGCCTCCAAAAAAAGGTAACTTGTGACTCCTTTGGTGTTGCAATTAGTATCCATAGGTGGTGCTAATAATACACCATCAGGTAATCCATCCGCTAGTTTGCCCATTATTCCATAAAAAACTGTAACAAGATGAGGTTTTAGAAATATTTTGGTTCTTCAAATAACAATAGTATAAAGTCTTAACAAATGTTCATAAAACTAACCCTACGTGGAAGCATAAAAGTAATAAAATCAATTCAAAATAAATAAAATATAACAAAAAAAAGCGCACAATACTTTTAAAATGCCCGCGCCATAAGCTGTCAATATGTTTGAATGATACCACAGAATATTAACTCTTCAAGGTTGCCAACTACATACAATTACTATTAAAAAGTATACTGATGTAACATATCTTTCAAAGCAATTCTTTATTATTAATATTACATAATTTACGTCTGGTTCATAATTAATAATTTATCTTAAGGATAAACGTGGATAAACATTTCATTCAAGCAATAACTAAACGTATAAAGTAGTGATGCGAAGCGATCGATAAGAGTAGCAAATTATTTGTGTCAAAATAAAACTTCTTAGCATGGAATTATTGTGAATTTTTTAACAGTTTGTCTATTTATTAATTATATTATTTATATTTTTAGACATAAAATCGTTTATTTTCTAGGTTTTCACTTCTGGCTGATAAAATATAAACAGTAATACTATTCCTACCCATGATAGACACTGTTCGAGCGAAAACATAATCTTAATTTGATAAATTATTCCAGCTTCTTGTTCTATTAAAAATAACTTACTTTACACTCGAAATACAATCAGTCGATCTCCACTCTGATTATTCATTTGCATGGATTTCTAAGTATTTAGCACAAAATTCTTTAGCTAGTACCTTTTAAACAAAAAACAATTCGCAAAACTAACTCGATCATAGCTAATGACATTCAAAGTACTTTCATTTTAATGTTGTTAGTCGTCAAGCATTCGTCGTCATTGCTAAACTATTTTTTTTTCTTTTCATAAACGTCAAACCAAATGTATAACTTTCGATACTTTGCACCTCTGTCAGTCGCATGGTCGCATCACTATTCATCGTCTGACAATATGGCGGAATTTCTTATCAGCATAGCAGTGAATTTGTAAAATATTTGACGAAAATAGCTATTTATAAATAGAACTTAAAACAAGAACAGATTATATTGAGTAGAAAGGACCTATTTAGCGCCGAGTGGTGTCTTGCACTGTTTACACCGGTTACAAAAATAACCGCGTACCGAAATATTTAATTGAACATCTGACAATAATAATAAACATGAACATTATGTTTGAGAAGCATTCAGAGCGATAATTTGCGTAGATAATTACGTCACGGCGGCCTCATGTGTCGGGATTACCGTTTGTGCATCGTGAAGATACGTTGTGAAGGTCCATAATGATTCATGAGGTTAATTGAGGTTTTACTTCGATAATACGTAATTGGTCCGTAAGCGTTACGCGATAAGTGTGTGTAGTTTCGCCTTCATCGGGCGTTGACTCGTCTCGCAGGAATCCGGTAGAAACGCAAGTGACTAATTGATGAAATGATCGAGAGTGTATCAAGACGTGCCTTTAGCAGTTCCAGTGGAACATACAACGTGCGTGCTTCGGAGCTGGCGCGCGAACGCAAACTCAACATCTTCAATGTCACTGTGCAGTTTCTGGATGACACCCAGCAGTCATTTCAAATCGAGGTAAGTACTTGTTTACTAAACTAGGTATTCATATTTAGATCCTTATTGGATTCCAAAGAGGTAGAGGTCTTAATCTTAACATCATGTATTGTATCAGCAGCAGGATATAGGTGGTTAGATTTCTTATCAGACTCTTGTGTAAGGTCCAAACACTCTGTAAGTAGTGCCCTATCTAATGAATAGTATAGTATCAATTATTTGCCTATTTCAGTAGTTATTTTTTCCTATCAATCTATCATTATTCTAGGAGTATGAAATATTTATCAGCAAGCAATGTTACATTTATGCATGAAACAAGTTGAAGTTTCCTGATTTGTGCCCGTATATTATGGTAATAGACTCACCCCTTACCTGGGATTAACAATAGAAAGATACAAATAGACTACGACACTATACACTCAATATCAGTCTATTCATACTTTAACTGCTGAAAAGTACCTAGGTTTTACATTTAATATGTGCACTGTCTGACCTATTATCTGTGTATATGAACCAGCTGCAAGCTGCAAGTCTGTACAATCTACATGATGAAAATAAAATTATCTATCCAATTCTTGTACCTCATATCTTGCCTTGAAAATAATCTCTTCCTTAATTTGACTTAATAAATCCTTTAATCTTAACTAAATAAAGGTTAATTACAAATTGACTTGCATTAACATACATACCTGGTGAGGAGTGGATGTTTCTGGTATTTAAGTGCTCCGAAAGTCGAAACCAGTACCTGATCTTCATATAAAATCTTCGGATAAGATTGATTTTTTCCATCAGTTGTAATGTGCTCCCGTCAAATCAAGATCGATCTAGATCTAGAGGTTTTCAACTCGCATGAAATTAGATTTGAACTGTACATCAGCTCCTTTGAATTATATTAAAAGGATATTAAAGTCATGTTTTCTATTAAGCAGTGTTTGAACCAGGTAAAGTTTTGATAACATTGAGTCATGAATTTTGGAGGTGGTTTTAAAGTCAATGGTTATTGTTATTTCTTAATGAATTAATTTCAAATGATTATAATCGACCAGACTAGTCACTGGTTCACACACCATATCGGATTTTGAAGTGTGATGTATGACTGATAACCAAACAATTAGTTGGGTGTTGAGAATTGAGTTTAGTTAAATGAAATTTGTCAAAACTGCTGTGACGTTACATATTACCTATATTATAATGTGTTTGTAGTAAAGAACATGTAGTCTAAAATATTGTTCTATGGTCTTTCCAGAAAAAAGCTAAAGGCAGCGTTCTACTAGAACAAGTGTATCAACATTTGGAACTAGTAGAGAAGGATTATTTTGGGTTACAATTTACGGAGAATGGATCGCCACCCAACGCCACAAACTCAGAAATAACAGTAAGTATTTAATTTTTATTTTAAGTAAAAGCAATGTAGGTTAATTTGTAATAGAAATCAATAATCACCGTTAGCATTAGTAACAAAAATTAAAGCTTTATAATATAAAGTTAGGATCAAGTCGGTTTTAGTGGATATCCCAGCCAACAAATCATCGTTTTATATATGAATATACACACCCATAAGTTGTTTATTATTAAGGAAACAGTACATACAATAGTTCGTTCCTACAAAATAAACCTTGATTATAGAATAATATTTCGTCATGATTACTGGCTGCTTAAAGTTATTGTTTGCCTTAACATTATTGCTACTAATTTCCCTAATTAAACCATGTATATTTATTTAATCAAATACTATTATTTGGGTACTTTGAGTTGAAAGACTGAAGGTCCTGAATTCTTGTCCTAATTTAGCTTTATTCAACGGTTTAATACCGTCGTCACAGTCCACTGCTAGATGCTAAACTTATGCTTGACTGACAAATACAGGTAACAGTTTAAAAACTATTTAAGTTCAATAGCCTAACAGGTTACTGACAACACCCTTGCAGGGTGGCCAATAATAATAAATTAATATTCTCCTCTAACATTACTAGCTATATAAAACTGAATACAAATAAGATTGAAAATAACCATATTTAAAATTCAAGAACCAGAAATAACTATGTCCAGTTCAAACTCTTCAGCGGCATGAAAGAGAAGGAATGACATGTGACAAATATCACCATCTCTTTTCCTCCTAAACACAATGAATTTCAACAGATGACTGTCGGTTACATAATTGTTTGAGATTTATTGGTGTAGTTGTCTAGTAAAGTAGGTTAATTGTTGATATTGTGAGTCCTCTGTTTATATCTATATTTACTAGGATGACGTAGTTGTTTACATTATAGATTTTGTGTTGATTATGTTTCGATAGTATTCTAAAGTGGTCTAGTATTAGTACCTACAGTATAAAAACTATCTAATGTTGAAATACTCAAATTTCACTCAATTTTAAGTCGCGTTTAAATATCGTTCTATCACTGGAGAACCTAACGGGTTGCCGGGGCTCCGGCTCGAAGTGCAGGAGTAGGAACGGGGTGGTTTTTAGTTAGTAAGTCTGACACTCCCTCCCGCCTCACCCAGGCGGGAGAAGTCATTTGATGATTTTCCCCCCCTTAAAAAAACACTATAAATTCTTTGTAAAATGACAGAGATGGCACAATATTTAAATAACTTAATATTGAGTAGCCTTTCAGTATTCGGGCGTTAGACTTATAATATTAATTTCCGTTTACGAACAGAAATATTTCTCTTCAGAGGGCTTAGTACGAGTTTGTTTTACGTTTAAAGTAATCGAAACGAGTATGAGTTCGACGTTCTGATTGGTTGGTTTATTAGAGCTGGCCAATCAGAGTATAGGCCCTCTAGAACCAACCAATCAGAACGTCGAACGCATACTCGATTGCAGAGTAGAAGATCTGACTCCTTAGTACGAGTAACTGTACTAAGGGCCCAGAGCGCCGAACGTACTTACGAAACGAGTACGACACTCGTACTAAGCCACATTTGCAATGGTTCATTATTACATCAAAGCAATACGTAATTGTTTTCTAATTTCTTACAATATAAATAAGGCAATGTTGTCAAAATTAATAATGTATCTCTTAATATTGTGGAGGAGAAAATCCTTGTGTGGGGCAACGTTTTAAATAAATCTACCCATTTATCTACTCTGCAACTTTAACATGTAGTACCTTTATGAATCCAAACATGTATTATGAAATCTTTATAAAACAAAACAGCTATATTATAAACTACGCTTAAAAAACCGACTTCGACCCCTCTTTTTTTTTATTTGGTTCATTAATATACGTTAACCTTCTACCTAAGTTACCTAATTGTAACAAACACATTTCTGAGAACTTGATTGAAATTGGTTCAGACAATCGCGTAGATAATTGCGCACAAACATACATACCTACTTAATTACAAGTCAAACTGAGATCCTCCTTTTTTTCTTTTCGAAGTCGGTTAATTATTCAAATACATAGCTTCCAATTTAATTGTAACTTTGATTTTACCAGAATGGGAATCAGTACCTACGTATATTATTGATTCTCATTTCCTCCACATGCCCACTATAATACAATACTGAACTAAAGTTTCTGTATTTAGTCCTACTGAGAATTGCAATATGGAAAAACATATGAACATAATTGATTGAAACCAGTCTTCCTCAAAATTAGGACTTCAAATTGTAGTTGCACTTTGATTTTTTACTTTTTGCTGTTAATCAAATAATTAATTTATTTTGAACTATTACTAGAACTGTCATGAGACTAGACTTAAAAACTTGCGTAGGTACTCAGAGAGTGCGGCTATGAGCCCCTATCATGATTTGAAACTCGTTGAGCACCAAGAACTATTACGTGAGCAAAACGTGTTATCTAATTAAGCTGTACCACTTTATTATATTACGTCGTTAACAATACAACGAGGCAGACCAGACTGTTCTCACATTAATCATTCGTTAAAATTCATTAAGAAAAATTCGCATTAAGTAATTGCACCTGTTCATTTTTTATTGCTTGTTAGCGTGTCAGTGAGACAATATCTATGATTCATATTATTATAATCAATACGATTCATTCTTAAATCGCAGAAATTCATACACGAACATTGGATTTTTTAAATGTCATGATATGAGTCATATTTGTAGTGTTCCAAGTATTTTATTATGGTTTCAACAGCTGTCTGTCTAGTTTTATAGTTAATGGTGTCTTTTAATGTCTCATGCATTCAGCACCCTGCTCTGAGTCATAGGATATCCTGAACACATGTCGGGGATGAAATCTTGCCCCATAATATGTCACTTTTGAATCTGTGTCCTGCTGTGTGGTCCATGGTGCTTATAGAGAAGCGAATTATTCTGAGGGTCAGTGAAAAATCTAATATATAAAATTTTCGTGTCACAGTTTTCGTTGCCGTACTCCTCCGAAACGGCTTGACCGATTTTGGTGATTTTTTTGTGCTTATCCGATATCTCTGAGAATCGGCCAACATCTATTTTTCATCCCCCTTAATTAACTTCTTTTTTATTTTTTAGACAAAATATTTAATTTCTATTTTTTTATGATACAACATACAAAAATACATACAATCCTCAATTTTCACCCTTCTACGATCAACCCTTATTTTTTAATGGCCATTTTAGTAATTATTAAATGGCAAAACAACGTTTGCCGGGTCAGCTAGTATAGTTATAAACCAACTAACTCCAAGCTAAATAAAGTAAAAATCGCGGGTTACTCACGTGAAAATACTGAGAAGAGCTCTACTAGTTTCGAACCAGTCTAGTGAACTTACGCTAACCAGTAGTAGGCTGCGCGACATTGCCGCGACCGTTCACACTGCTCATGAGAAAGAACCCCTCTGTGGTTCGAAACTAGTAGAGCTTTTCTCAGTATATTCACGTGAGTAACCTGTGATTTTTAGTTAATTTAGTATGTCTTAGGATAGTTATTATGAAAACATGCTAACTCCAAGCGTTTATTTGTTCGGAATTGTATGCAATTTCACCCGTGTGCAGTGGATAGTTACCAAGCGGTTCATAAACTTCATGTACTTCGGAAAGGAAAGTTGATGTAGGTACCTATAAATTCGTGAACGTTCGAATACCGAAAGCGAAACTTCATGCTGGGCGCTGGAGACGTGATAATGTAAGTTTGTGATGTCTATTCCGCAAAACGGCTGAACGGATGTAGATGAAATTCGGCACACAGATGATAGATTATGACCTACAAACAGGATTATACTTGTATTGATAACACGGAAGAATGAGTTTTGGATTATATTTTTGAATGCTTAAATTTTGTACTTTTTAATGTTTATGATAGCAATAACAATTAACAACCTATTAGGCGATCTAAAAAAATATGTACATAGAACCTACTTTTGATATCATCTTTGTTCTCAGACGTTTGTTGACTCGCATTACGTAGTTATTAGCATTTAGCAGGGTGTGTAAAGTGACGTTATGATGCAAACAAGAATTACCATGTACCTACGTATTTTTCTGTAAATAAAATAAATTCTGCGAATTATTTATTATTGTTGTGGTTTTATCTGAAACTTTTCTCATCGTGACATTATTTACATTCCGTTGAAAATCTAACTTAATATTATTGGTATTTCTATTGAAGTGTTTTGTTGAATTTTATCCAAGTGTATAAATTTAAGGCTCTAGATAGACGGACTGCATTTTAACTGCAATCCAACAGCAAATTGCAGTTCGGATACAGTTTGGATGCAGCCTTGTCACGACTGCAATTGAACTGCAAAACCAAACGTGCAGTTACAGTTCTATTGTAGTCATGACCAAACGGTTGCAAACTAAACGAGCAGTCCGATTACAGTTCTATTGCAATCGTGTCAACTGCGTTCAGACTCCATCCGAACTACAATTTGCAGTTGAAATGCAGTTCGTCTGTTTAGAGCCTATAAGAAATTAGTATAGTAAGTTAGTGCATAGCTTATTTTTTACATTTCTGTGATACATGTACAAGTTTGTTAAATAACTATCTTCCTGTCTTTACCAGTCATTTGCATTATTTCAAGGCGTGCGAAACGGATAAACCACGTCTAAATTAGTTAATTTCGAAGCTAATTAGCGTAGAATTAAGAAAAAATTAAATGCCATGTATTGATCAAACTCTTGCGTGATTCTACAGTTTATCACGTCATTTTAAAACTACATGTTGTAGTTGCACATACAATTACAATCGTATTTCTGTATTATTTTCTTAGGTGATAATTGCTTACTATTTTGCGTGTTTACAAGGTTGTATCTCTATATACAATTAAATAATCCAATTGACAACATTTCGTTTTCATACCAGCAAAGAGGAGCATAGCATGTTGTATTAGTTTATGTACATACTTATGGCAGTGTAGAATACATTGATCGCCACTCTTCCATAATATACTTACCTTAACCTTTTAAACTGTCGCGGAGAACCTAACGGGTAACCGGGGCTCCGGCTCGACGTGCAGGAGAAGGAACGGGTTGGTTTTTAGTCAGTAAGAGTCTGACACTCCCTCCCGCCTCACCCAGGCGGGAGCAGTCATTCGATGATTTTCCCCCCTTAAAAAAAAACCTTTTAAACGGACCAATCCGCCTTCTGAACGTAAAATAATAAAATTATTATAAAACAGATCCTAATATTCTAATTTTAACTAAAACAACGGTTTGCTCATGGAAATAACCCGCGTAAACTGCTAGTCTTGAGTCACAGAGGGACTTCCTCATGAGCAGCGTGCGCAGCTGCAGCGACGTCTCGCAGCCTACTGTAGGCTGTAGACATAGATATAATTTTATACTTCTGTGGCTGTGGGCAACCGAGTAAATCGTTACTTTTCAGTATGTCTCACGATAGTTATTATAAAAATATAACTGTAAAAATGTTGTGTAGAAGAAGCACATAGTCCAACAGCGGACTATCGGGGACTGGTGAATCCATTTCGTTTATTCTTGCACCTAACAGTTTGGTAATTTTTTTTATTAATAATGTGTCAGTACCTTGCCATATAATTAGTACATAATACATACGTGTCTCAATTATATTCTAATTTTATATTAGCGTCATATAACTCATGCTTGACCCCTTTATAATTTATTGAATACCTTGGTTGTTTATGATCGCTATTGGACACAATGAAAAATGAACCTTTGTCAGGATGAATAGTTGTTTGTGACTCTTTTGCACATAAACTCCTCAGATATTTAGATACAATTTTATTCAAATAGATTATTGTTTTGAATTGTTCTTGTTATTTGTTCGGAACGAACAACAACCTTAGCCCAAGGCAAAGTATTAATGAATTTTTTTAAAAACTCAGTAGTAGCACGGAGTCTAGAAATGTACCCGGTTTATAGCAATAGTCTCACTCCCTATTCATTTAATATGCCGAGTCCCATGGGACTCATAACATAAATAGTGAAAAGTGGGTGTTACATTGTGCAGTGGCATTCAGTCCCGTAATGTATACATCTGCCTACCCCTTCGGGGATAAAATGCGTGATGTTATGTTCTGTTACTGTTATAAAAATGAGTCTACACTAACGTTACTCAAATTACATAATACCGCCAGATTCTTCATAAGATTGACAAGATTAGATCACCGATACTTTAAGATTTTATCTCTTATATAATACCTACGCTAATAAATAAGTTATTTACGCCCAAATGAAAGGCTACTTAAATATCGTGCCATCTCTGTCATTTTACAAAGAGTTTGCAGTGACAGAACTATACTTAAATGTGACTTATAATTGAGTAGTCTTTCAGTATAAGGGCGTTAATTCCACAATTCTAGGTTGATTTATGTATTCAATCGCCGCGCCGGTGAGAATTTATAATAAAAATATATTTTGGCGGAATATTGTTGAATGTTTAAAACCTTCAAGGTCCGTTTTGATTTGCATTAAGGTTTTATTTAACAAATTATATTTCATTTAAATAATAAAAAGCTATTTTATTACCTCGTTGGTTGATAGTTCGCAAGTGCATCAAGGTCTTGCGAATTCGTATTTTTTTAGACGACCATGGTGTATCAATTAATTTTTGGCAATAGATTTATTATATGCCTATGTAGACATAATTGTTACTTATTTTTGAGATTAAAATTCGTATGATCAAGGCCACCCAAATCTTGATCACATTTTTTGTTATTTCGGAAGCCGAAACTCTGTTAGCTTAACTTGATGTAACTGGATCCAACAATGAGTATTAAAAAACATCTACTCTAATATCCAGGTCGACTCCAAACCCTTATCAAATTGTAATGTTTAAAAATCGTAATTGAAAAACATAATAGACGCATTACTCGCCCATAGAATTTTCGAAAGTTCCCCTCGGTTTCCCTAGGATCTCATCATCGGATCCTGACCTCATGGAAATGGGACCATCTCGGAAGTATACCCTTTCAAACAAAACAAGAATTTTGGAAATCGGTTCACAAATGTGTATATGTGTACATATGTGTACCTCCTCCTTTTTTTAAGTCGGTAAAAATAAACGGAACTTTGTTTTCAAATTAGCTGAACTGAATACTACTTTCACTAAAATTAATCTTCATTTTGCCAAAAATATGTAGCTCTTTTTAGTCTCGTTTCCTAAATTTGTATTTGCTCACTCATTCAAGTCATTCAGACGGTAGGTCAGCAGATGTCCGCAAAAACGTCTTTGATAATTTTAAAAGTGAACATCTGTCATTTGTTTTTTTTTTCCTTCAAATGATCTTGGCATACGACGTTCTGCCAATGTCAACGACTAATAATAATGGTTCTATCGTGTATTAATTGGTCGTTTGATGGACTACTTAGGTCAATTAATTTGTTTTTATATTAATATGTTTCTAGTGGCTTTATCTACAGGCATTTGAGAAATTAATCTTATGATTGAATAGAAAACACATTTTACTTCCTTTAGCATTCCGAATGCTTTCAAATAAAATATAAAGGAACTAGTTTTGAACCATAAAACTAACGAATATAAAATCTAAATTCGTAAACCATCATTTTTCGCAGCGTTGGCTGGACAGCACGAAATCGGTGAAGAAACAAGTTGGTGCGAACGCTCAATTCTGGTTGGCTGTTCGTTTCTATCCGCCTGAACCTTCCCGATTGGCTGAGGAGTATACCAGATACCTGTTGTGCCTTCAACTGAGGAAGTTGCTGCTTGATGGCAGAATGAATGCCCCGAAGAACACCGCCTTATTGCTAGCTTCGTTCACTGTACAAGGTATGTATCAATTGGCTGCGCGACGCTCATCTATGAGCCCTTAGCGTAGCTTGAAACTGGTTGAGTTACCTAGTCAAACAGTTGAGCCTTAACCATAATCACTACATAGTATAAAACAAAGTCGCTATCCGGCATCTGCATGTCCCCATGTATGCTTAGATCTTTAAAACTACGCAACGGATTTTGATGCGTGATTCTTAAGGAAGGTTTATGTGTATAATACGTACATATTGCACCCGTGCGAAGCCGGGCGGGTCGCTAGTTTTATTATAATAATTAATTTTGGGTATATCGATTTGCTATGATCTTTCTCGTAAACTGACTGACTATGACAGTCACACAGTAAGGAGTCACTACTAAGTCTTGCCACATTCAAGTGAATGTTGGTTAGGACGTAATACCGACTTCGGTGTGGTCAATTTTCCATGTAACAAAAGAAAGAAATACTTAATCTCACATAAATCTCATGTGTATGTCTCTGTGGTACACATGTTATAAAAAACAAGAACTACACGATGGATTTAATGTTCCTTGCATGTGATTAGCTGAGCGAATATAATTCTTATGTCTTGTAATTACAGCGGACAATTAAATATTCCCATAGAACGAAATTACTCATAGTTATTTTTTTTACTCATAAAATACGTACTTACACGGTAAGTACGCTTGTATTTTTCGAATGACGTTAGCATTTGAAGTTTGACGTAGTTAACCACTTAACGTAATTTGTTTTGTTTTTGTAGTAGGTAAAGCTAAAACAATAAATAACAATTTCTTGTGTGACGTCAATTTTTTTGAAGCATCTTTTTGCCTTTAGCCAAACGCCACTTTAGCTCTTGTCTACAGAGAGAGTAGAAATCAAAATGTATGGGGATGACACTGACAAGTGTCAAAATTTACGTCAATCCCATATAATTTGGTTTTCTAGTCTACATGTAGACAAGCGATAAGTGGCATTTGGCTACAACTGTTTTTGTATTGTAAATCAAACTTTAAAGTCTGAGAGCTAACCTCAACCTACTTGCTAAAAGGTCAAGAGAGAGAAAGATAGAAATAATGTGTTTTCAAACAAATAGCTAATACTAACTACTTCCATGCGGCTTCCTGCCCTCTACTCGGCTCCTATTGATCTTAGAGTGATGTTTTGTGTCCTATAGCCTTCCTTGATAAACGGACTACCTAACACAAAAAGAATTTTCCAAATCGGACCAGTGGTTCTTGAGATTAGTGTGTTGAAACAATCTCTTCAGCTTTATATAATAGTATAAGATAAATATACAAGATAATAATACTACATCTAAATTACCTGACCTATTATTTAAAAATATTACCACCTGCCGGTATGTGTCGTGGTGGCCCGGAGGTTTAAGACGTCCACTTCTCATGCATGAGGGTGCGGGCTCGAAACCTACCAACGGCAAATACCAATGTGACGTTTTCCGAGTTATATGTACTTTCTAAGATTATTCAGAAACCACTGACAAACGGTGAAGGAAAACATTGTAAGGAAACCTGGACTTATAATTTCTAATTATAAGTTTGAAATGACCAATCCGCATTGAGCAAGCGTGGTGATTAATGCTCAAACCGTCTCCGTGTGAGAAGAGGCTTTGCTCAGCAGTGGGCATTTATAGGCTGTTAGGCCTCCTGCCATACGTGAAGATTAGTTTTGGCAAAATTTCTTATGTAGAGAGGAACCAGCTGTGAACTGTGGCATGCAGGCGGTGTGGTCAATGTTGTTATAAGGACTGTAAGGTGGAGAACTTAACAGGTTAACAGGTTACCGAGCTCCGGCTCGAAGTGCAGGAAAAGGAACGGGGTGGTTTTTAGTCAGTAAGAATCTGACACTCATTCACACACAAGTAATTCGATGATTTTCCTCCCTTAAAAAAAATGCAGTGTGTTTCGCTTCGAGCTTCCCTGACCGAAACTCCAAGGAATGGAATTCCTTGTCGGAATCTGCGTTTTCTGAAAAAAAAAAACAACGTGGGTGTTTTCCAAGTCGCGAGTAAACAAGTTGCTTGTAGCTAGGTATGCTCAGTCGGCCATATCATCTTTTTTTTAAGGGGGAAAATCATCGAATGCTCCCGCCTGGGTGAGGCGGGAGGGAGTGTCAGACTCTCACTGACTAAAAACCACCCCGTTCCTTCTCCTGCACGTCGAGCCGGAGCCCCGGTAACCCGTTAAGTTCTCCGCGACTCCGAATCGGCATTGGCCCTGTTAGGCCCCATCCGTGGTGGTCTGATGGCTGTTTGAGGCGCGCGCGGAACGCGACGCACCGTACGCTCGGGCGCATCGTCGTGTACCACCAGGCCAGATGGTTGCCAATCGCCATCCTATGAAATATGAAAACGGGAATTTTCGCTGGTTGATTTTAATCACCGGCCGCATGCCGTTGATTGTTGTTCCTATTAAGGAAACACATATTTTCCTCTATCATTCAAATTGACAATGAATACAGATAATAAATAATTGATCTAAATACACTATTGTTATTCCCGATGACTAGTATAGGTATGCTTTTTGTGAACTAACGTGTTCTCATCTTATTTAGACTGCAGTTAAGCTAATGTAAACTAGAACAAAGTTTTGGAATACCTACACATGATTCAATGGTATCTATTGTTTTGGGTAACTACTATGCTACGCCTACATTATGTCAAAAGGTCAATGAACCAATAGATATCTTATTACTCTTATATACTTATAGTTATTATATAAAGCTAAAGGGTTTGTTTGTAAGTTTGTTTGAATGCACTACTCTCAGGCACTACTTGTTCGATTTGAAAAAATATTTTGGTGGTAGATAGTCGAGGAATGCTATAAAACGAATATGTGATGAGCGAAGCATAACTGGTGCGCGGAAGTAGCACGTTTTATTATATCATAAAGAGCAACAAACAAATAGACAAATTTTTTGTTCGTGTATATCAAAATGCTAGTATTGATTTATTGTTTGTCATTTTTATATTAAATTTATATGTATATTTCCTTGCTGTGCCCGACATGGTCTACAATGATCTGTATTATTCTATGTTACCACCTAAGTTAAACTTTGTGGAACGCAATAAAGCATTTGTAAATAACAATAAAAGACTTCACGGTTGGCGTGGTGGCTGGGCTGCCGCGCAACGTGTCGCGGGCTCAATTCCCACAAGGGTCTGGGTGTCATGTGTATATAATATTATATGTTTGTTAACGACGACACAGGAGAAAATCCTGAAGTGGGGCAACAATTTAAAAAATAAACTTAAACAAACTCTTGTCCAATTTACTAAGTAGTAATATTCTAATCGAATCATTTATTATGTTATTTGTTTTTACCTTTCAGCGGAGCTAGGCGACTATAACGTATCAGAGCATCCCCCAAACTATCTATCCGAGCTCTGCCTCCTGCCGAAACAGAACGCGGAAGATGAGCGTCGAATCAGAGAACTGCATAAGTTACATAAAGGACAATCACCAGCGGACGCTGAAGCGAATTTCTTGGAACATGCTAAACGATTAGACTGTTATGGAGTTGAGTCGCATCCTGCCAAGGTAATAACGTTAATTTTTCTTACAACATAAAGTATATTTTTCGGTTTCAAAATAGTAGTATTACATACATTGCCTGTCTCGTTGGCAGAGTGGTCGTAAGTGCGCCGGGCAAGGGGTGTCGGGCAAGGTATTACTGGCCCTTTTCAAAAAAATCTCAATAGTAGCACGGAATCTGGAATTGTGCACGGTATATGGCAACAGGCTCACCCCTTATTACATGGGACTCATAACATAAATAGTGAAAAGTGGGTGTTACACTGTACAGTGGTATTAAATGCCGTAATGTGCACGTGATGTTATGTTATGTTAGATATATTGTTTGATCGATTACAGCCTTCAAACTTTAAAGAAAAGTTTTCCTAACTTACTCTCTATTCAAAGGCGAGCAACGCATTTACAATTGCACTGGTTTTGCCAAACCTACAATCAGCTTTTGACTCGACACGCTGTGACGTCACACGATATTTCAAATTAATAATTATATCGTTGATAGTATATATGTTTGGAATCCATATCTCAGTGTGTACTATGAATTCGATAATTGCTATATTTGTATTGTACCAATTTATCTAAATTCTAGTTATTGTGGGTAAGTGGTGATTGGTGACCTCACTTATGAATAACACGGTTAATCTGAAAGTTACTCTAAGTTGGTTCACCAGTTACGTATAATTTTATTTACCTATTAGATTTGGCACCAACCTTAGCGCCAATATTGGTGAATGATTACACAGTAAGTTCTTCTTCGGTATCGTATTAGCCATGGTAGTCCCACTGCAGGGCAAAGCCCTCCCTCCTTCTCTTCGTCTCTTCTTCGCGTTCTGTGGCCAATCATTTTCATAGGTATCCAGTTCATCCCGCCTTCACCTTCTCCTCCTACCGCGACGTCTTCACTATTATTAAACGTAACTTACAGTTGTGTCTTCCGAGTTATATTCCTAAAATCGACAATAACAATTTTATAATAAGTTTTTAAAAGCCCTAATGTCATTGGGACTAATATAAAATATATAGTATAATAGTTAATATACATTTCTATATTAACTAAATAGTGTACAGAATCCCAAACTTTGCCTTCAATAATGTCTATAATTCTTTGTATCTTCAAAACATCTTCAGATTTAAAATTAATGAGTAACAATATATAAACCTCTATAAACTAACCATTTATTCTAATTTCCAGGATTACAACGGCAAGGACATATTCATAGGCGTCACATCGATAGGTATCGTCGTGTTCCAGAACAATATACGAGTCAACACATTCTCTTGGAGCAAAATCGTCAAGATTTCCTTCAAGAAGAAACAGTTCTTCATACAGCTGAAGAGAGAACCTGTAAGTATTAAATTAGTTATAAGTTTGCTAAATAGAATGTAGTATTTATTTACTCACTACCTACGTAAGAGGTAGCCCGGCTCAGAGGCTAGCTTTAGCTTAACTTAGCTAACTAGCTTTTCGTCGTGTCGTGGGTGCGTTTACAAACATAGAAGTCCATATACACATCACACCCAGACCCGGAACAACAATTTGTGGGTCACACGAATCTAGTAGAGCTTTTCTCAGTATATTCACGTGAGTAACCCGCGATTTTTAGTTAATTTAGTATGCCCCACGATAGTTATTATAAAAATATACTTAAATTCACTTGGAAAGTTCTAGATTGTATTATGAATCATAGAAGCAATTAATAATAGGTAAATTTATTATTGTTCATTGGTTCTACCTTTCCTCATATTACAACCATATGTATTTGTAGGTTGACATATTTTCCCTTTTTAGTAAAGTTAATTGTAATATTTGAATTGAAAAATAAATGCGTTACAAAATACAAGAATGGTATTGAAAATATTATTTCAATGCTACTTTATAACATTAAATTAAATTTAAATAAATGTAATAAACTGATCGGGATGAAGTTATGCAAACAGATATAATAATCTTGTTTTATAGTCTAGAACTAGCTTCTACCAGTGCAGCATTGCCAACGGTCCTGTGGAATAGGAAGTAGTATAATTGTACCTATGTTCCAAATTTTCTTCCTGATCTCTTCAGCTGTTATGACGTAATTGAGTAACAAATATACTCACAAAATAACAAACTTTCTCATTGACAATATTAGTATGATAATAAATACGAAAACCTTCATCCAGATAAAATGCTTATTCCTGACGTCACATCGGGCTCACCACCATACGTGACCGCTGCGATCGGCGGTCATTCATTCACTCGTTGACCCTTACAATCAGTACCTATTTAAATGAACTGACTGCACGGTTGGCGCGTTGGTGGGCAACTGACTGACAACTCTTTGTGTGATCCACAGATTGTTGTTCCGGGTCTGGGAGTAATGTGTATGTGATATTGTATGTTTGTAACATTGTACGCACCCACGACACAGGAGAAAATCTTAGAGTGGGGCAACATTTTTTTTAAATACAGTCTTTTCTCATCATACCGAAGTCTTTTATTATTCGAGACCACCAGCAACACATATTTAGCTTGATATTCAAACAATGCTTTAATTTTCATTTTCTAATTTTCTATTTCCACAGTCAGAATCATATGACACAGTCCTTGGTTTCAACATGCGGTCTAGTCGAGCGGCTAAAGCGCTGTGGCGCTGCAGTGTAGAGAGACACGGTTTCTTCAGACTACGAGCACCTAGACGACGAGCGCTTTTAGCAGCGCTGGGAGCGTTGGCTGGGTTGGCTGCACCCACAGTACCTAGAACTGAGACGATGGCGTTGGAAGACGCTAGACGATCGAGATCGACTAATAGGAGTTTTGTTAGGTGAGTTTTTGGTCAGTTCTGTAGTATAAAATAGCTTGCAATGATGATGACTAGAATAATTTCAGTCGAGTATATTGCATTCTGTCACATATTGATGCTAATACATGCTACTTTTCTTATGTCGCCATAACCTAGCGATCAGGTGTACTACCTGATGGTAAGCAATCACCGCCGGCCGTAGCCACCCGTAATGCCAAAGAAGTTACGATTATGTTGACGGCCGTATTTGGAGATTTATATCTTTGGTAACCTCACCCACATCACGAAACATCTCACATGCAAATTTCATGTCGGTTTTCTGGGGCTCTGATATCACTTCAATCGAACCAGCCTGAAACATAGGTTTCCCACATAAAACCTTATTTACCAGGCCTTATAGATGTTTGCTTTCATTTTAATTGATTGTGTATTAATATATTGTAATACCATTTCTATATTTTTGTATGTAATTCTGTTCCAGACGTAGTAGTTCCCGTCCCCGCGAGCGTTCAGTAGGCATGTCTCCCGCGAGCGGTATGCGAGGCTCCCGCGTCACTGCGCACTGTGAACCCGCGCCACGACCTGCCTGGGGAGACCTTGATAGACCTAGCTCCGATATCATGTATGTATATAAAGGCACGAGGCCATCTCTATCGGTGGAACTCATGACGGCGGCGTGGGAATTTCAAGAAATAAGCGCTAATCCTTGTTGAACTATTTATAATTAACAAGTTACTACAGCAGAACTATAATAATCAACGTAATTTATTAAAATAGATTATTTTGAAATTAAAGACAGGCGATCCGTCAGTGTGCCACGTCAACTCCCCTCTTGTTCGAATTTTTAAAACCGTCAGACGATCAAGATGGCCGACGCTCCACACAAGACGTTCCGCCAGAACGAGATAGATAACTATCCCCGCTCTTGTCTTCAGTCAATCAGTTCTCCAGGAACCCGATAGAGGGCGATGTACAATTTCCGACATATACTATATTAGCCATATTCCTGTATATTGAGAAAGAAGCGATGTCATTCGTAATTTCCTTATGTAGAAGAATTTGTATTAAGTCACAAATAATATTTTCAAATATTTGATTTCCTAGTCTTTGCCTTAATAGAATAAAACTATACCTATATGCAACAGAAACTTTAAAGTTGAACTTAAGTAAACTATTCGAGGATGTCTGACTACTTTCGACCAATACTGGGGCTCATAATCGTTTATCAAAATTGTTCTTATGCAGAAATGACCTACGTATAGCATTTGTTTTTCAATTTGAGTAAAGAATAACTGTTAATTTTCAAATTTACAGCGAAGGAGACTTCTTAGAACGAGTCCTCCGTATCCCCCTATCCTACGTGGACGAATCAGAGTCCGGTTCAGAAGGGGCGGAGTCTGCGGAGTGTGGGGGAGTTAGAGTCCGACTAGAGGCTGGATCTGACGGACTGTTCGGGTTCAATGTTAGAGGAGGGGGCGCTGCGCCTGTACTAGTGTCCAGGGTCGCTAGTAGGACTAGATTGCAGTTGCAAGAAGGGGATCAGGTAACACTAACATTGTTACTTCACAAAGTTCACATTTCAATTCCTATTGTAGCTACTCTTTTCATCCTGGATCTAAACTGGATATTTTTGGTGATCCTTAGTTATAGTTTCTTATTTTCTAGTCATCTTTTGTATTATTTAGTAAAAACATACTTAGATAACAAAATGAATGCGTCTTGAAATCTATTTGGTTGCTTCGTAACAAATAGAAGAATATTATATAATATTCAGTAAAAATAGCAGCTTGTTTTGTATAAAACAATACATTAGTTACAGATAGCTATTAACAAAATTTAAATGTAATTATAAACTCATGTTTATAATTTATAATAATTAGGTGTAATTTCAGGTGATATCGATAAACGGGACGGACGTGGACGAACTGACACACGAACAAGTCGTACAACTAATTAGGAACACACGAGGTGTCTTGACATTGGTCGTAAAACCAAATGGTAAGTCACTATTTTTGTACACAAAACACTAGAATTCTGATTTACACACCAGTTCAATCATATACTACAAATTACCAAAACTTTCTTTCGATTTTAAATCTCAACACTTTGCAATATAATCCAAAATCGATTACACACTTTAACAGTTACAACATATTCCTATCAACTATTTTCTCCTTCCAGCTGTCTACGCCCCCGAAGATCCAGGCGCGGAAGAGCCAGAAGCATGCTTCGTGCCTCTCTTCTCGGAAGGTGACTCCAGACCAGAAGGGGACGCTCTAGAACAATCCATTCTGTTGCTAGGCGACGGACTGGCCAGTGGGAACGCGCTCAAGCAATATGAGACCTTACTGAGAAGGTTACCCGACGAACCGACGAATATATCGAAACTGCCTTGCAATTTGAACAAGAATCGGTACAGGGACATTGCGCCTTGTGAGTTATCTTATAAATTATATTTGTCAATAATATAACATAACATCACGCCTTTTGTCCCCGAAGGGGTAGGCAGAGGGGCACATTACAGCACTCAGTGCCACTGTATAATTAATGCAACACCCACTTCTCTCTATTTATGTTATAAATCCCATGTAATAGGGGGTGAGCCTATAGCCATATACCGGGTACAATTCCTGACTCGGCGCTACATCTGACATTTTTGTAAGATACCCAATAATACTTTTCCCGACCCGGGGATCGAACCCGAGACCTCTTGCCAGGCAGTCACACTTGCGACCAATCGGCCAACGAGGCGGTCATATAATATATCTTATTATAATAAATAAATTGAGTGTTCTTTCGAATTTACTCAATTGAGACCTTCCCTAATCAAAAATAAATTATTTCGACTGTTCAATACAATAATATATTAAAAAATGATCACACTTTCATTAATTGATTTTATGACCAATTTAATTTTAGTATTAATCCAGCAAATTTTTAAGAAATCCGTATGCTGTTTGACGCTAAAAAAACGTGACGTCAGTATACATAATCTCCTACAAAATTCATATCAAACTTGTTTTTGACAGTTCCAAAATAGTATTGAATTTGACTAGTTCGCAAGTACCCAATTAAAGTGCTTATAATGATGAAATGTTTCTTAACTACGAATTGTTTTTTCCAGATGATTCAACGCGAGTGATATTGAAAAATGGTCCAACAGGCGACTATATCAACGCGTCGTATATCAACATGGAGATACCGAACTCCGATACAGTACTGACTTATATTGCAACGCAAGGTTTGTTGTTAAAAATGCACACACTGTTACAAAAGTATTCCTACTATTTTTTATGGGATTGGAAACGAGCAGACGGATCACTTGATGGTAAGCAATCGGCGTCGCCCATGGACACCTTGAACACCAGAGGCGTTACAAGTGTATCACCGGTCTTTTAGGGATTAGGAATTTGAGGATTATTGAGGATTATTGGGAATTCAAGAATTGGGAAAATTAGAGAGGGTAATTGGGCTTCCGGTAACCTCACTCACACGACGAAACATAATTCAAGCGTAGTTTCATGCCGGTTTTCTGCTCGGCCGTGATCGCTCCGGTCGAGTCGGCTGAATTCGTTCCGAAGCATGGCTCTCCACTGGCTCTCCTACACTTAAAGTATAATGTCTTTGTAACATAATTCTTATATTTCTTAAGGTCAATATAATAAGTTCTTTCATGTGGGATATATATGCTACGACATGTATGGGCCTTACAAACCCTGGAGTGAAACAACGCCTTCGTTGTGTTTTGCCGTATAGGTGAGGTTTATCGTCATCAACAGCCTATAAATGCCCACTGCTGAGCAAAGCCTCTTCTCACACGGAGGTTTGAGCATTAAACTGTCAAACACCAAGCGGTCACCGGTGACCGCAACCTATTATTCTATAATTGTGTCTATAATGACGGTACTTCACGAGTTAATCACCACGCTTGCTCAATGCGGGTTGTTGATTTCGAACATATAATTAGAAATTATAAGCCCAGGTTTCCTCACGATGTTTTCCTTCACCGTTTGTCAGTGGTGTCTGAATAATCTTAGAAAGTACATAGAACTTGGAAAAAGGCACATTGGTACTTGTCGTTGGTAGGTTTCGAGCCCGCACTCTCGTGCATGAGAAGCGGGCGTCTTAAACCTCCGGGTCACCACGACGACGCGACGATAGGTGGGTGGGTGGGTGTGGTAGGTGAAGTTGCTCATGTAAAATCCCTGGCTCCCATAGAATCGGCAACGCACTTTTGACTTCTCCGATGTTGCGTCCTTCACCATCTGCCTTTGCTACCCGATCACATAAATATTTTTTTTATTTATTTATTTAAAGCTTCATGTACACAAGCACAAAATGTACACAAGGTGGACTTAATGCCGCAGGCATGATGCAGAGAAGAGTTAATGGTGTGAGCAAGAAGCAAGCAATTATTTAATAGAGCAAATAAAATAGATACACTTACATATTTCAGAGATAAACATAAATACTTAAACATAATTATAATATATATACCTACACACGAGTACAACACAATACACATTCATGCATTCATACACATATACATATATACATACATACATACATACATACATACATACATAAATATAGACTGTGAGTAATTAGCGTGATGATTCAGCCACCCTCTTCAAGAGAAGTTCACGCACTTTCTGCTTAAATGATAGACGAGTCGACACCATCCTGACATCCAGGGGGAGCGCATTCCACAGCAAAATTGCCTGTACGAAAAAGGAAGAATGAAAGAAGTCAGTGCGATGAGTGGGACATTGAAGAAGACGGTTATGAGAAGAACGAAGGTTTTTGCTGTGGTTTGCGCATAGATATTGAAAATAAGGGGAAAGATAACTGGGCAAAGAAGGTGAACAAAGAAAGGAGAATAGGGTAAATAAACTGCAATACAAAATTATCACTTCTCAGGTCCTTTATCAACAACAGTAGGCGACTTCTGGCAAATGGTTTGGGAATCAGAAAGCAGTCTTATAGTGATGCTGACAGTACTGACGGAGCGAGGCCGCGCCAAGTGTCACCAATATTGGCCCAAGGTTGGCACCACTCCTCTGAAGGCCACGAACGATCTCACCATATTCACCAACAGTGAACAGAACCACGGACATTATATTAGGAGAGAAATGACTATTAAGGTATGTTGCTTTACTGTTTCGTTTAAGAGTATAATTTATTTATTTATTTATTTATTTATAATTCATGGAGGACTTACAGCATATAAAAATGGATAAAAAAAAATGGTTGCCTGTAAAGTCGTTTTTACGGGCGAAGATTTTACGTGACAACGTCTTTTTCTCGGTAGAATATTTATTGATATGAATATAATTAAATTGCACAATAGGAACAAGGAATTGAATGAACTAGTGCTGCGCGCGCGGCAGACCGATCATAGTTGAGTGGGAGAGAGACGCAAGGCATTCGGCGGGCCTCTCTCTCGTTCGGTGACTCATCGTAACGTTACCGAGCGTTACACTTTTTCATAAGTGACTCCCAGCCGCAACCTAATTTAAGACGTTGTCACGTCAATAACAATAGGCGTAGGTAACAGTGAGCCAATAACAAGTCTTCACGTTTAACATTTGAAATAAATTAATTAATATGGTGTGAGTACTATACAATATTAAAAATACATACATTCTGCGTAAATGGAAAAAAATAAATATTGAAATAGACCGTACAGACAATATAATTATGAACAGATCAAGAGAAACGATAAAAAATAATAATAATAATTTATGCTAAGTCTCAATAAGAAGAAACTTTGAAGTTTGTAAAATATGGACAGCAAGTCTTTTGCAATTTTAAAATATTTACTTGGTCGTCTTAGCCGTTCAGCGCTTCGATTTGAAGCCGGCTCCATGAGCCACCCAATTAGAGCGCTGAACGCGGTCTCGTTTCGATCTCGTTAAACCTAAAACAAACTCGTACTAAAGCCTTACTTCCTTATTCTGTTGGCTTTACGGCGTTAATAATCGCTTACTTGCGGCGGCGATCCTTCTGCTCATTTAACCTTCATGTTCCATTCCACTTTTCAATCAGCATTTACTTTCATTATGTTTACTATTGTCTACTACATAACATAACATCACGCCTTTTATTCCTGAAGGGGTAGGCAGAGGTGCACATTACGGCACTTAATGCCACTGTACAATGTAACACCCACTATTCACTATTTATGTTATGAGTCTCATGTAATAGGGGGTGAGCCTATTGTCATATACTGGACACATTTCCAGACTCCGTGCTACTACTGAAATTTTGAAAAAACAGAGTAACCCGGGAATTGAACCCGAGACCCTTTGCCTGGCAGTCGCAATTGCGACCACTCGGCCAATGAGGCAGTCATGGTAACCATGAATACTATGTTCCCCAGGAGAGTGGCGGAGCGTCCCGCGCGGTCTGCCAGCTGCAGTACACGGCGTGGCCGGACCACGGCGTGCCGGAGGACGCGGCCGCCTTCATCAGCTTCACGCAACTATGCTCACAGCTACGGAACCGGAGACCTAGTCAGTAACACTACTTTTATACTTTAATAACTTAGAACAGAGGTATCACTACATAGTATAAAACAAAGTCGCTATCCGTCGTCTGTCTGTCCCTATGTATGCTTATATCTTTAAAACTACGCTTACTTTTGATGCTGTTTTTTTAATAGATAGAGTGATTCATATGGAAGTGTTATATGTATAATACATGCACATTACACCCGTGCGAAGCCGGGGCGAGTCACTAGTGTAATATAATACTGATATCTGGGATAAGGAAAAAGCGATGTACTTGTCTCTTCTCATGAACTCAATATTTTATAAGGGGTGCAAGAAACAATATATAAATAAATAAATAAACAAATACGAAACAATAATAAAAAGGAGTTGAAACTCAGCAAGCTTTTAAGTACTAACTTGTTAAAGCAAATACGTTCGAGATTAGGTTTCCATTCTTACAGAATATTTATAAAACATTAATGACTTAAAGGACTGTGTTAGTTTACGGAAATATACACTAGTGTTCATATTTGAGTGAAGACTGAATATTTATTCATTTCAATTAAAATAGTATAACAGTACATAATACCAAGGCATTATACATTTCAAAAATTATAACAAAACGGAGAAATATTCAATATTAGCTACTTCCGCGTAGTTGCACCCGCTCTACTCGGCTCCTATCGATCGCAGCGTGATGTTTTGTAGCCTATAACCTTCCTCGATAAAGGGACTATCCAACACAAAGAGAATTATTAAAATAGGACTGGTAGCTTCGTAGATAAGCACGTTTATACATATAGTACTAGATGTTGCCCGCGACTTCGTCCGCGTAAAATAATGACTTCTGACAGAATTCAACAGAATCAATTCAGTGCCAGTGAAATGATTTATCGTGGTTTCAAAAAATATATAATCCCGCTGGGATTCTACCAGTACAGTGCCTGTTTCCGTAAGGTTTTAGTGATAAAATCTATTCTATCGACTATTGTTGTATCGAATCTCTCTAAAATAAGTTCAGTAGTTAAGAGGTAAAGAGTCCCGGGGCTTTACGCATAGTTCCCGTTCTCGTGGGACTTCTGTGATAAAAACTATCATACATCGTTTCCCAGGTCTCAAATTATCGTTTTACCGAATGTAACTCAAAAAGTTTCAATGATTCTAGATTCAATAGCTAAGACGACTTATACAAACTCTCATCTCCTATTTTATCCCCTAAGGGGTGGAATTTATCAAAATTCTTTCTTAGGGGATAATTATGTCATAGTAACTTTATGCATGCAAAGTCTCAGCCCGGTCGGTTTAAAACAGTGAAAGTTTCATACAAACTTTCATGCCTTATTTTACCCACTTTGAGGTGGAAATTATCAAAATCCTTTCTCATCGGACGTTTACGTCATAACTTCTTTCTGCTTACCGAATTTCAACCCGATCTGTAGAAAATTGACAAAGTGTCAAACAAAATTTCATCCCCTATTTTACCCCATTGGGGGTGAAAATAATCAAAATCCTTTCATAGGGGATGCTTAGGTCACAACATCTGCCTGCACGCCGAATTTCAACCCGATCGGTTTAAAACTGACTAAGTTCCATATAAACTTTCATCCCCTATTTTACCCCCTTGGGGGTGGTAATGATCAAAATCCTTTCTTAGCGGATGCCTACGCCATAATATCTACGTACATGTCAAATTACAGCCCGATCCCTCCAGTGGTTTGGGCGTTGATGTCTGTCAGTCTGACTATCTCAGTCAGTCAGTCACCTTTGAATTATATTATTATTTTATTTATTTAGAAAACCGAAACAAATATATTGACACTTTGTTACGTTAACAGTTATTTTGTTTGAAATGTAATAATCATGCAAATTACAAAGTTCTTCCTGAAGCGCACTGCAATCATCAATTGACCTTATTTTATAGAAAATTTTCTTGTCGTCTGCATACATTAAATGTTCGGAACTCCTAAAGCAGTCAGCAATATCGAACAAATACGCGTTGTAGAAAAGAGGCCCCAAGTGAGAACCCTGTGGAACGCCACTAGATATATCAACAAAGTTTGAACGGTACCCACCCATCACCACAGCTTGCGACCTTTTAAATAAATATGATTGAAACCACCTTAAAAGGTCCCCCCTTAAACCCAATCTAAACAATTTGCTCAGCAATATATCGTGATCTACACGATCGAAGGCTTTTTCAAAATCCGTATAGATAACATCCACCCGTCCTCCTCCGTCGTGTGTTCATAAGGACAAAATTTGAGAAACTTGCTAAGTTCGAGACAGTGGATCGCATTTTTAAGAAACTGTGCTGCTTGTTAGATATGCCTCTGAGTATATAAGGATAAATTGCTTTATACACCAGCTTCTCAAATACTTTGAGATACTTTTTACACATATATATAGATTTGTAATACCTTCTAAGTTGTTCGTTAAAATTAAGTGATGTCAAAGACCATTAAATTCGCAATGAAATTCTCTTAACCAACAACACATTTATTTGGATAAAATAATATTATTACGTTGATACAACTCCAACAAATAAATGTTAATAATATCGACCAATTTAGTTACCATAAAATTGGTTCTTGTGAGTTAATTTTAAAAGATAGACTAGATATAATGTTGTGGACTTTTTTGTAGATCATTTTAAGACGAAGAATTCTTATACATTTATTTTGTGTATCTTGAACTGTATTCGCAGCGCACGCAACGGAAGCCCTCAGATGAATAATTTTCCCCGTTTTTTACACATTTATCACGGTTCCTTCGCTCCTATTGGTCGCAGCGTGATGTTATATAGCCTATTGCCTTCCTCGATAAATGGACTATCCAACACAAAAATAATTATTTAATTCGAATCAGTAGTTTCGGAGATTAGCGCGTTCAAACAAAGAAACAAAAAAACAAACCTTTCAGCTTTATAATATTAGTAATGATAAGATAAGATAACAATTAATGTAACTCTTACGTAAGGAATATAGATTTTAAATAATATTTGTATCTCACAGTGATACCGACAGTGGTAGAGCCCGAAGAAGGCGAAGAGGAGCGCGAGTTGGACCCCCCGATGGTGGTGCACTGCTCGGCGGGCGTGGGCCGCACGGGCGCCCTCGTGCTGTGCGAGGTGGCCCTGGCGCTGGCCGCGCGCCGCCAGCCGCTCTACCCGCTCGACCTCGTCCGCGCCATGCGCGCGCAGCGACCCATGTGCATACAGAACGCGGTACGTACTGCGACACGCCTTGCGACATACATACATACTGTACGAGGTGGCGCTGGCGCTGGCCGCGCGCCGCCAGCCGCTCTACCCGCTCGACCTCGTCCGCGCCATGCGCGCGCAGCGACCCATGTGCATACAGAACGCGGTACGTACTGCGACACGCCTTGCGACATACATACATACTGTACGAGGTGGCGCTGGCGCTGGCCGCGCGCCGCCAGCCGCTCTACCCGCTCGACCTCGTCCGCGCCATGCGCGCGCAGCGACCCATGTGCATACAGAACGCGGTACGTACTGCGACACGCCTTGCGACATACATACATACTGTACGAGGTGGCGCTGGCGCTGGCCGCGCGCCGCCAGCCGCTCTACCCGCTCGACCTCGTCCGCGCCATGCGCGCGCAGCGACCCATGTGCATACAGAACGCGGTACGTACTGCGACACGCCTTGCGACATACATACATACTGTACGAGGTGGCGCTGGCGCTGGCCGCGCGCCGCCAGCCGCTCTACCCGCTCGACCTCGTCCGCGCCATGCGCGCGCAGCGACCCATGTGCATACAGAACGCGGTACGTACTGCGACACGCCTTGCGACATACATACATACTGTACGAGGTGGCGCTGGCGCTGGCCGCGCGCCGCCAGCCGCTCTACCCGCTCGACCTCGTCCGCGCCATGCGCGCGCAGCGACCCATGTGCATACAGAACGCGGTACGTACTGCGACACGCCTTGCGACATACATACATACTGTACGAGGTGGCGCTGGCGCTGGCCGCGCGCCGCCAGCCGCTCTACCCGCTCGACCTCGTCCGCGCCATGCGCGCGCAGCGACCCATGTGCATACAGAACGCGGTACGTACTGCGACACGCCTTGCGACATACATACATACTGTACGAGGTGGCGCTGGCGCTGGCCGCGCGCCGCCAGCCGCTCTACCCGCTCGACCTCGTCCGCGCCATGCGCGCGCAGCGACCCATGTGCATACAGAACGCGGTACGTACTGCGACACGCCTTGCGACATACATACATACTGTACGAGGTGGCGCTGGCGCTGGCCGCGCGCCGCCAGCCGCTCTACCCGCTCGACCTCGTCCGCGCCATGCGCGCGCAGCGACCCATGTGCATACAGAACGCGGTACGTACTGCGACACGCCTTGCGACATACATACATACTGTACGAGGTGGCGCTGGCGCTGGCCGCGCGCCGCCAGCCGCTCTACCCGCTCGACCTCGTCCGCGCCATGCGCGCGCAGCGACCCATGTGCATACAGAACGCGGTACGTACTGCGACACGCCTTGCGACATACATACATACTGTACGAGGTGGCGCTGGCGCTGGCCGCGCGCCGCCAGCCGCTCTACCCGCTCGACCTCGTCCGCGCCATGCGCGCGCAGCGACCCATGTGCATACAGAACGCGGTACGTACTGCGACACGCCTTGCGACATACATACATACTGTACGAGGTGGCGCTGGCGCTGGCCGCGCGCCGCCAGCCGCTCTACCCGCTCGACCTCGTCCGCGCCATGCGCGCGCAGCGACCCATGTGCATACAGAACGCGGTACGTACTGCGACACGCCTTGCGACATACATACATACTGTACGAGGTGGCGCTGGCGCTGGCCGCGCGCCGCCAGCCGCTCTACCCGCTCGACCTCGTCCGCGCCATGCGCGCGCAGCGACCCATGTGCATACAGAACGCGGTACGTACTGCGACACGCCTTGCGACATACATACATACTGTACGAGGTGGCGCTGGCGCTGGCCGCGCGCCGCCAGCCGCTCTACCCGCTCGACCTCGTCCGCGCCATGCGCGCGCAGCGACCCATGTGCATACAGAACGCGGTACGTACTGCGACACGCCTTGCGACATACATACATACTGTACGAGGTGGCGCTGGCGCTGGCCGCGCGCCGCCAGCCGCTCTACCCGCTCGACCTCGTCCGCGCCATGCGCGCGCAGCGACCCATGTGCATACAGAACGCGGTACGTACTGCGACACGCCTTGCGACATACATACATACTGTACGAGGTGGCGCTGGCGCTGGCCGCGCGCCGCCAGCCGCTCTACCCGCTCGACCTCGTCCGCGCCATGCGCGCGCAGCGACCCATGTGCATACAGAACGCGGTACGTACTGCGACACGCCTTGCGACATACATACATACTGTACGAGGTGGCGCTGGCGCTGGCCGCGCGCCGCCAGCCGCTCTACCCGCTCGACCTCGTCCGCGCCATGCGCGCGCAGCGACCCATGTGCATACAGAACGCGGTACGTACTGCGACACGCCTTGCGACATACATACATCACCAGAGGCGTTACAAGTGCGTAACCGGCCTTTTTGGGATTAAAAGTTTGAGAATCGTAGGGGATTCAGGGATTGAGGAAAAGGAAGCGGGTAATTAACCGGTAACCTCACTCACACGACAAAATACAACGCAAGCGTTGCTTCACGTCAGTTTTCTGTGAGGCCGTGGTATCACTCGGATTGAGCCGGCCCATTCGTGCCGAACCATGGCTCTCCCACACTAAAAAGTTTGTTTTATGTTTGAGTAATCGACGTTGTGCCACGACGAGACATAATAATACGCCGTTTACCGAGCCCTATTTATTTTACAGTATTACTGCTTTCTAATGAACGAAAGCAGTTAACGACTTTCTTTCTCACTGTAGCGGTGTAATAAAAGTATTTCTCCAAAAATGTAATCAAAAAATTTTCTTCCACAGAGTCAGTACAAGTTCGTATGTGAAAGCATACAGACTGCGTACACGCAAGGACTGACGAAGTCATCTTCAGAGAACGGATCGAACTGAATTAAGATAACTCCCTTGCCAATTATTGTACAGTCGACTATATACCTGACTGATCGTATTAAGGTATGTATGTGTTCATTAGTATACGCTAAATCGTGAATTGGACCTTAAATGTAGTTAATTAAGGTAGTAATTTGTGTGTGCAATACTTTACACTAAAGTTTGATTGTAGTATTAAGGATTTTTGTAGAAGACTTATTGAAGAACTCTTAACTTGATACTTGATTTGTAAGAAAATGTTTCCAATTACATTTTGGACAATTTGAGATGTTAAGAACTTGCACAAATTATGCACAAGAATGCGTTTTAAATTCTGTGCCCTGAAATGTAATATTTGCTTAAATTCTTTCAGTTGACGAGAATATTTTTTATTCTTTATTTTGGTCTGTATGCATTTTGTTTATTTGGCGTATACTATGAACACTGAATGAAATAACAGTGTGTTCATGGTTTCAAGTAGTTAAAACTTTTTACATGATATAGAATGCTGTGTAGTCAGAAGAAAAACAATCTTTAATTTGTTGGGGGATACGAGAAAAATCTGTATATTATGTGAAATGTGTTATAGAAATACATACAATGTAATGTGAACTTATACTTGTGTAATTCTATTAATTCGTTTGCGCAAATTGCATAACATTTTTGCGCAATGATTTACAGGTTGCGCAATTCCGTTGAGTAATTAGCGCAACTGTGTAAGAACTGATGCGCAACTCGTATTTCGATTGCGCTAAAATTCGGCAATTACAACGAAGCATATTTTCCTTGTATCCTTTAACAATTGAATAAGGAAACAATTTTCTATAAACTTTAGTAATTTGTATTTATTTCTAGTATATCTTCGACCAGTGGTTTGTAATTGTTAATTTATAAATTTTATAACAAACATTCGTTTCACTATGTTATTCGACATCGATTAACATCTCGAATAATATTAATCGATACCACATATCACTGTTAACGTTAAGATTAAATTTTAATTTACAATTTATTATTTATTTTTAGTTTTAGTTTTCTTAACGCTTGCTGTGATTTTTCATTACACATAAATGTAATGATATGAATCTAAAATAATAATAATTATATAGTCTTGCCTTTCCAACGAATTTAGTAATTTATTTGATACGAATTTGTATAATTTGTTAACGTATTTAAGATTTGAATGGTGGCGAGCTTAGCGTGGTAAATAGCTGGAAATATGAACTAACTACATTATGACAAACTCTCTTATCCAGAACTAGTCATTAGCCATTGTCAATGATGAACTAAATTATATTTTTTATCTTTTTAAAATGACAACCCACACTAAGATTTTTTCCTGTGTCGTGGGTGTGTTTACAAACATACAAGTTCACATACACAATGACACCCAGACCTGAAACAACAATTCGTAGATCACACAAAGCGTTCCTTGCACGTTCTACTACGCGTTCGCGTACGCGTACGCGCACGTTACACGAACTATGCAGGCAACTATAGACTTGTTGATTCTAACTATAGGGGTCTAGTAGGCAAAAAGCGAATTCATCATGATGTCTTCGCCATTACCTTTGTTCTACGCCTATGGAGATAGTAATATTACATGGGACTCATAACATTACTGGAAAAAGTAGGGTGTTATGTTATACGCACACCTCTGGTTTACGTCATAACGATATAGTAGAACTTCATCAATAGCTAATTACCATAATCTGCTTGTCACCAACAAAAATGTATTAAAATCGCTTCTTTTCCTGTGCCATTCGTAAAATAATAATAAGAATAATGTACATTTATAATTTTTAATTAATATATTTTTCAGAAACCATATATTTTATGTTATTTTGTATCTAAAATCCGGTATACAGTAATTTTAACTGTAGTTTAGAGTTCTACTGATATTAATAGGGACCCAAGTTAATGGTAACGTGTATTATCTATGATGATTATGAATGTAAGTTATCTATAAGTCGATAATACGTAATTTTATTAATAAAAATATGGTATTTTTGCACCCTTCCACATTTGGTGTCGTGTTTGTATGTTAAAATAATCTTTTATTAATAATATTTTCGTAATACTAATCGTACCTACTAATCGTTTGTCAAATAAAAATAATCTATAGATACTATCAGTCTGTCAGTAATATCTTACGATCAAAAATTAAGAATCAAAAATAATTTACAATTTTAATCTAACTACAATTTTGAACTAACACATCCTTAGTTTATAGCGAATTTGTCTAATCGGTTCCGTAATGAAGCTCATATAGTTATATATATGACGTGAATTTTTACAAACGATATTTAAAAAAGAACTATTATCGTAAATCTACATTTTAAACCTTAAAGCAATAAACACCATATTCAATTTACCTAAACATATCATACCGTAGGTATATATTAATATAAAATGAATAGAAAACAGTTTTTCTAACGAATATATTTAATCGGTATTTATAGACCGGGTCACATATTCAGGAAATTGGTTTACACATATAATTTTATAGCTAAGTAAAAATATAATTTCTGTCGTGAAATTATCTAATAAGAGGAAAAGTAATGAGGTATTTACTCTTTTTAATGTCTAGACTGCATAGTTGTAAACCACACGTGGGAGAGTCATGCTTCGTCACGAATGAGACGTCTCGACTGAAGGTAATACCACGGCCTCTCAGGAAACCGGCGCGAACGAACGCTTGCGTTGTGTTTCGCCGTGTGGGTGAGTTCCAATCCCCAACTCTTTCCTCTGGTAACATGACTCACCATTGTTATTTTAGCTGATTGCTTACCACCAAACTTGGTCTTGTTTATCAATTATTTATGAGGTCATATGTACCCTATTGCCGAATATGTGACCTAAATATACTGTGCCTATAACATTAAGCGATGGTTGCCATAATTTAAACTAATTAACTCGATTTATGCCGGAATACTGAAACGTTATTCAATTTTAAGTCGTGCTCAAATATCGTGCCATCTCTGTCATTTTACAAAGAATTTGTAGAGACAGAACTATACTTAAGCACGACTTAAAATTGAGTAGCGTTTGAGTATTTCGACATTAGTATATAATTTATCGAACTAGTTTTAATAGTTTAAGAAGGAAATCTTACATTACATACATGCGCAGGAATCCCCTATAATATATTATTATAATTTCTAAGTTTTAAACTGCATTTTTCGTTCAATGACTTTTGACTAAGCATTTTAAGTTTTTACATGCACTAATTTGCATTTTGATGGACTTATGCACACCACATAATATTAATTCTAAGTATTTCGTTCAGAACTAAACATAACTTGTTTATTGTAATTGTATTAATTAAGCACTAAATCACTTAACAAGAAATATTTTTATTTTACACAAAGAGTTTTCGCACAGAAACTAAAACAATATTGTACCTACTTTAGTGTCTCGTTTCATCAATGTTCAAACATATTTTTCTATTTCAATTTTTATATTTAATTAAGATAGTTGTGTTTTTAATTTATTGCTTTGTTTATAGGCTTTCATTACTATACGCTAATGATGAAAATGATAAACTCAACAATTCAAGTTCAACAGGTTTATTTTAAAACCAAGATCAAAATATAAATATGCCACTTGGCTGCGTATTAGGACGACGCGATACATATAGCAAAGGATATTCGTGTTTCGAATTGAAAATTTTAATGTATGTATGATGATACAGTTCAATATTCTATTGGTCAATAGACCAAAAGCTACACTAGCGCCCCTAGTAGTGGGAAAGTCCTCGTCGTAAAACTTACAAAGCCGATGACCATAGCTAAATTATAGCAACGGTTAACCTCTTTATCTTATACAGGCTGACTTGTAACTCGACGTATTCCTCTCGGGAGGAATATATTATACAAAATAAACCACTAAACCAGAAAAAGTTTGGATGAGAAAATCCCGATTGAACTCTAAAAAATTACTGGTTTAGTAGTAGCCTCTTTCGGACCAGAGACTTCGGGGCTAATTTTATATGAAATTAGTTGTACAAGCGTCGCGTTACAAGTCACTTTGTATACAGTTTTTTTTTAAACCAACTGATTTTGATATGGCTATGATATTAAAATTAATGGAGTTTGATAACTAAATTATGTTTATTAATTTAAATTTTAAATTAATATTAGATTTGTGTGAATGACTGATGTAGTTATAAGTGTTGTATTGTTCAATTATTTTGTAGTGTCGATTCTAATGTACCCCAATGTAATGTTTTCTATCTTGTGATGTATATGAAGTGCTGTGCGTTTTATTTCATGTCAAATAAAAGTTTATTGATTTAATTTGTTTTTTTCTTTTACACTTTAATACGACCTTCAAAAACGCCGGCAACGCACCTGTGTCTCCTCTGGTGTTGCGGGTGTCCATGGGCAGCGCAGATCGCTTACGATCAGGTGATCCGTCTGCTCGTTTGCCTCCTATTCCATAAAAAAAACTTTTTAACCGACTTAAAAAAAAGGAGGAGGTTCTCAATTGGACCGTATATATGCTTTTTTGATGAGAAGTTGATCGGATGGCCATAAACGCAAATATTGAGAAACGGTCGAAATAAAATAAATACCTTCATCCAAAATCTCTGAACAGCTTACTCTTGAAACCAATCTCAATTTCAATCCAATAAAATCTCTATAATTATTCAATGTCAAAACTACACAACCCTTATCGTAGCTATTAAAATAGTATTCAGAGTACGGAATATAAAACCAAACTCAATACCATTTAGTTCATTAAATGTTCACGCAATACGGATGCAATGGGCGCTAGTATTGCAACTCAAGAGTACGAAATTTCACAATAGATACCAATGTCGATCGATCGGAATTGGATTCAATCGTAAGCCCACTGATCATTGTTTTTGTCAGAAACTCCAAGCGTACATAGGCCACGGTAACCGCTTACCATTAGGTGAGCCGTGTGCTTTTTTGTCACCATGCTATAAAAAAAATCATTTGCTGATGGAGTGCTCGGAACGGAGTAGAACGTGAGCAATTCTTGAAGCTGACATGGGGCTGACATTTCGTTGAGAACAGCCTCTAAAAAGATTTAGATTAATAAAAAGATAAACTCCATACAACTGATGTCAAAAATCGATCTTATTCAAAAGATTTTAGATTCAAATTTGAACTTTTAGGGGTCCCGAAAGCCCACATCTCTAGGGTAGAGTAGGCGTCCATCCTGATACATAGGACTATATAACAGGATTTGGCGAAAAGAGGCATTCCTTTAATGGGCGTGTAAATCTGCTTACTTGAAGAAACAACATGTATAATGTTTATGTAATACCAACCCACACGATTCGCGTGGGTGTCCTAAACACCTGTGGATTGATCAAGTGTAAGAAAATCTCTTAAGCTGTGCAAATAACAGCTCAACAAACGGATAACCGAACGATTTGGTTCTTACTTTAGATGGTATGGTTACCATAGTAACTTAATTCTTTTATCTCAGAAATCCTCCTGAATTGGACTGAAATGGGCCAAAGGAAATGAGTTAGTGCTCGTACACAAAACTGCGATGCGATTTCGTGCGACAAGGCGTCTCCCAGGGTGACCATTCCTTCGACGACCGTCAACCGTATTAAACGTATTTTAAATTGAAAACTAGGTCGTGACATGGATTCTCCAACTTAAGAGTTGGAGAACTATACTTGGGTATTCAAACCCGCTTTGAGCAAACGTGAGCAAGTGTGTGATTAAGGCTAACCTTCTCACTGTGAGAAAAGTCCTTTGTTGAGCAGTGAGCACTTATAGGCTGTTGATGATGATGTCTTCTAATATTGTTACATTTACCCTTCGCCAATCTCCCCAATCCCCGAATCCCCAACAATCCTCAAACTCCTAATCCCCAAAAGGCCGGTAACGCATTGCTTACCATCAGGTGATCCGTCTGCTCGTTTACCGGCTATGCCATAAAAAATAAATTAGAGAACCGAACTACAAATCACATGCATTTAACCATAAAAATATTAAAAATTGACCAATAAGTAGCTACTATACAATGATCATAAAACAATATCAGTTGATCTAATGACTAACTACCTGCCACATGTTCAAACAAAATGCTCTACCGATTACACTGTTATGAAATATAGATCACTAAATATCTATGTTATACAAAATACTGTCATATAGCACTTTAGATAAAACGTTAGGAGCACGTGATTAAAAATGTATTTTCGATCGGTTTGGCGGTGCGTAATCGAACTACAATATAACCGAATATTTTTTAGCAATAGGGCTGATTCCGATATATAGTCGCGGAGAACTTAACGGGTTGCCGGGGCTCCGGGTCGAAGTGCAGGAGTAGGAACGGGTGGTTTTTAGTTAGTAAGATTCTGACACTC